TCTGTCACATAGAAAACTGTAATCACTTACTGATTCTGCCATTTATGTGACCTTTCTATGCCTGTTTCATCTGAAATATATGGGGACAATAGTTCTAGTATTTACCTCCTAGGGATGTGTGAGGATGAAATGAGAATTAATGCATATCAAAGGCTTAAGCACAATGCCTGGCAAGAACATAATACACAGGCTTGTAAAAAGAAAGACATGACACATTGGTAGAGGTTGAATGACGCTCCCTTTGTTGATAATAATGAATGTTCAGCTGGCTTCTCAAGAAATGATGCAGAAATTAGCTACAGATTGCAAAGTACTTCATATAAATCCTGTCACTCAGTCTTCCAGAGTGCTGCCACAGGGAACTGGAGTGTTTTCTTTTTCTGGTGTGACTTTTACAAAGGAATGTTTTGCAAAATGCACTAATACTTCCCATTGAAATCTCAAGGTCAGAGCCTCTCAGATTTCATTTTGGACTAGTCCCAGTTAGGCTTCCAGAAAACTGACCCTAATATTCCTAGGGAAAGAAATCTGAGGCATACTAAATGTACCTTGAGAGAGAAGTTTTATTTTGAGATATCATGGACTCAAACCTCAAGGTAAGAATAGCTCAGGTCCAGTTTTCTCTCAAAATAGTTTGTGTTGACTTTACATAATTTCAAGTAAGTAGGCTATATTTTATAATAAAAGGAACAACTTGGCTACCCTGTGCACCAAACTTTCCCCACAGAGAAAGCTTATTAATTATCTAATGGTATGTAACAAACTATTCCAAACAGTGATTGAACCGCAAACATTTATTATTTGTCCTTGTGGGTCAGAAATTTGAAAGCAGCTTAGCTGGATGATTCTGGCTCAGGGTGTCTCAAGAGATTGCCATTAAGATATCAACTGGGACAGATGGCAGCCAGTAATCTGAAAGTTAGACTGGATATAAAGATCTGCTTCCAAGTTGGCTAGCTGATAAAGGTTTTGGCAGGAGGCTCCTGTTCCTTACCTTTAGCACCTCCTCATAGTGCTGCCCTCATAAGATGAGGGCTGAACAGAGCAAAGAGGAAGCAAAGCCCTTATTTTCCTTCTCTTGGAAGTGACACATCATCACCTCCCTATTGTATTTGTTCAAAGAAAATCATCAAATTCAGGTCACACTCAAAGAGAAGAGAACAAAGCTCCATCTCTTAGGGAGAATATTAAAGAATCTGTGAATAGATTTTAAAACCACACACATACTAAAGCATTAGTTCCTTATTTTTTAATAACAACTTACCAGTGTCCACAATATATTCTATCAATATTATTTTCAAATTGATTTTTCTAAAGCAGAAAGATGAATATCTGTCAAGTATATTAGCAGAGAATTAAAATACACCATTTTCTGGAAGAGAAAGTCTACTTATGTCAGTTTCCTCAAGATAAATTTCATATTAATAACAATATAAATAATCACTGTGAAAAGTATCCTTTTACTTTTTCAAATATCTATTAATAATCATTTTTTCCCACACAGAAGCTAATCCATGGTAAAATATTTTCCATCCTTATGGGATTTACAGAGACAAAAATTGTAGCTATCTTCAATATAGGCCATACTAGAAGTGTTTCCACCTAGTGGGTAAAAGAAGGTACTATTGATAAAAGGGTTTGAAAAATAACAAAACTTGTTTCATAGATGTTTCTTGAGTTATGCACATCTTTTAGTGCACTTTTTACAATATCACATACTTGATGTTTAGGGAAGCTTCCACCGTAAATCTATAGAAATTTTTATAAAGCAACAATCTTTGTTTTATAAATATAAAATTTCATATATACTGCTGCCTCTGGAATTCTCCAGGTAACAACCTGCAACAATTACCAAGAACCAAGAAGTAATCCAAGTGTCCCAGTGGCTAACATACATCCTAGTGTCCATACACTAAAGCCCTATTAAGCCAACAGCTAAAACCATAGAGAAGAACTGGAAGCCTGGCATACGAACCTCAGGATTTGATAAAAACCAACAAAGCCCAAGCATTTGACTTCAAAGGAGTCCTTCCAAACCTCCTTCCTCTTTGCTATAGTATACATGAGTCCTAGAAATCTTCTAATATGAATCTAAATCTCACAGTAGATCAGAGGGGCAAGAAGAACTGACTCAAGAACTGAAGAACTGAATCACTTTTGTCAAGCCACTGGAATTAACAACTGACAGCAAGGAAGAAAAGTATTGGCAAAGAGACATAAAACAAGCTACCTCATTCTCGGGGCCAAAGTGTTTATGACAATAATTGTGGACTTAGGGGCCTCCCTGGTGTGCAAGGGGTTAAGACGTAGCACTGTGAAGCTATCTTCAGCCACTGCAGTATGAGTTGGATCCCTGGCCAGGGAGGTGACCCACACAGCACAGCAGACCTCTCGTCTCACCCGCTGCTCCCCTCAGCAGTGTATTTCAGTCAATTCCCCTGTTCTGTTCCCCACTCTGTCTCTGGTGAATCCTCTCACCAGCACCTCTGGCCTGTACCCCAGTTCTTCTATGCATAAATCTTTAAAAAAAAAACTGTGGAATTATAAAGAAAGTTACATTCCATACACTGTTTAAAGATGTAACACATTTTGCAAAAGGATACCCTAATGAATGTGAGAAAGTATTTGCACATCATACATCTTACAAGGAACTATAATATCCAAGATCTATGAAGAACTCATATAACTCAAAAAAAAAAAAAAAAAAAAAAAAAAAAAGAAAACAACCCAATCCAAAAAAATGGGCAGAACTAAACAGACACTTCTCCAAAGACATACAGACTGCAAAAAGGCACACGAAGAAATATTCAACATCATTTATCAGGGAAATGCAAATCATGACCACAATGAAATACCATCTCACATCGGCGAGAATGGCCCATACTGGAAAAAAACAGAAACAACAAATGCTGGTAAGGAGGTAGAGAAAAGGGAATGCTCTCACACTGCTGGTGGGAACGGAGACTTGTCCATCCCTTATCCAGAGTTGTATGGAGGGGTCTCAACACATTAAAAATAGATCTGCCATTTGAACCAGTAACACCACTCCTAGAGAATCTAACTGAAAAGTCAAAAACAGTAATTCAAAAGAAAACTTGCACTCCCACGTTCACTGCAGCCCTTTTTAAAAACTACTTTAATTTAAAAGTAAATAATAATGATAAAAAAGTAACAAATTTTCAAACTATTTTTAAGAATTCATTTATTAAGTTCAATTTCTTAGAAAGATGAGCTCTTAATCATTTGGAAAACACAACTATTCAGAAAAATGAATTAAATCTTGATAAAGAATTCAAGCAAATATTATCTAAAAAGATTTTTACTACTGTCACTGACATTAATTGTATCAGTCATACATTAATTTTACTATCATTCACATTAAATAAGTGTCCTTAGTTATGCTAAATTTTCTTTTTTTTAAAACCAATAACTGAAGCTTATTTTTGAGAAAATCCAGGATGGAGTCCTCCCTAGCTCTATCATAGGTGTCTTCCACATATTCGCTATTGGTTAAAAAATAAAAGTAGTGTCCTTGGTGAGAAACTTCAAATTTGCAGAACTTTAAAACAAACCACTCTCCTACCTACTTTTCTAACAACCTCTTGCACTGCTGACAAGACACAGAATACCTAGTTCCTTTGTCCCTTACCTTAGCAATAATTACTTAACAGATTTGTACGTACTGTCTTCAAAAGCAAACATAAATACAATATAAGCACATGTCCTTTAGGGAAAACAGGGAATTTATTTTTTCCTCAGTCATCAGTTTGCACTTGAAAACAGGATTTTTTGATATTGTTTTCTTCCTTCAAATTCTGAAAGGTAACTATAAAAATCTTTCGGAGTACATTAAAGGGTACATAATTTCATACAATTCAAAATATAAGTGAATACCTACTATGTGCAAAATACTAAGTTATATACAGGTCAAAAGGGAAGACCTTTGTACTCATATAGTAGAGGGAGGAAAAGTACGCAAGAGAGGGAGAGATTTAAGCAAATAACTAACCTAAGACTGGAGAGAGGGAGGGGCTATGCCCAGGTTAAATAAAAAGAATGGTAAATAGCTACCACTAATTGGTGAAAACAGACTTGGTACTCACTCTTGTGTGTATCCTAGCTGTCACATCTTCTCCCTCCCTATTCTATGCTGTCTGAGTTTGACTGCTTCCAAGTAATTTTGATGACTGCTAGATGACAACTGGATAGTGGACATGGAGCAGAATAACAGTACCAAAGGCCTGCAATGACATAAGTCAAACAACAAACAGCTCTTTTCGCCACTTTCACGTGTGATTTTGCTTCTCTAATTCTTTAAGACTTTCCTTAATACCTAAGGTAGGATGGGGGTATAAAATGATGAGGGTCTCACACATATCGTGGAGGTAAAAAAGAATTAAGACTGGAATTCTGATGTTTAAAAATAGGCAAGGAAGGATTCCATGAACAATTTTCTAATGAACAAAGGTGTATAATACATCAAGAGAAGAAAGTACATAATCTGTCTGTTCCTTTTTGTGACAAAAAAGACAGTGTGACAGATAATTTGGGTTTAAGAATCTTAGAGTAGTCATAAAAAATCTACGCTTTTATTCTAAATGAGTCAGAACTCTAAAGCATCTACCAACTAGTCTTTCCTCCATGGCTATGGTCCTCTCACAGAAATAACATCAGAGGGTAAGGTACAAAACATTAATGTGAGTAATGACTTCCCCTCAAGATAGGAATTTATATATGTGAACATTTGTGGGTTTTCAGAGAATTTTTTTCTTTCTTTTGGTCTAAATCTGCACATAAGGCACTAAATCCACTACATAACAGTATCTATATGAAAACAGAAACCATGTGAAACTGAAATGGTTACAAAATACAGATAGAGTATTAGGTTATACTAGTGGTTAGTATATTATTAACAAATAGCTTATATATTGCTTCTTGCTTCAAAATGTAATTTTAGATGTGAAATTTACCTCTTTAATGAAAACTATGAACTACAGTAACACTGAATAAAATATTTATTGTGATTTTTTGCTCTCTGACATAATATTGTTTATTTTTCCTAGCTGTCCAAATGACACAGTTGCCGAACCTCTTTCAGCTGGTTGTGCCTGAAAAATAAAGATTAAGGATATTAGAAACACATAAATACATATTCCTAATGAAACCCCTTAATGTTGTTTTATATTAAAGAAAAAAAAACCCTTAAGTTAATAAATAAAAAATAAAGAAAATAAGAACCCACTGAAAATATGATTTTGCTTTAATGTTACCTGTGAATCATGGTATTTCCATCCTATCATGTAATAGATCTGAAATGTGGCAGGTACTGAACCATCTTCATTTTTGTACATTTCTACAAAGATAACAATGTTTGTTAAAGTCTTATAAAAAATGCAAACAGGGAAAAAAAACTCCTGCACAATAAAAGTCATGTCCCCAAAAGAAATGGATACTATGATTCTCAGAGGACTCACATGAAAAATCCTCACTACTGAGAAGCTGACAGTAAGAAAATAGTAAAGTCTGCTTGGAAAAAGGTTAGGCGTTACAGAATCTATGTTTTGAGATAAAGGACAAGAAATCTGATGGTGACATAGGAAAGGAAAAAAGACTGGCAATTTTGAGGGATAAACAAGTTCCTCAGTGAGGCATGGGTGGAAAGAGGGGCCAGTTCCCTCACCTCTGTACACCGCAGCAGCTGCAAGCATCGTATCTCGGTGCAGTAGAGCTTTTCTATTCCAAGCACAATTGCTCTCGCCCATACCTAAAAATAAACTACAGGCAGTTTTAGATAATACAGTAATATCACAGATAGACCTCCATCTCATCCAACAATATACCATCCCCATTCTCTAATAGTTATGCAAAAATAACCTAAACCTAATTTCTCTCTTAGATTGCACTTAGGCTGTTTAGTGATTTTAAGGCAAAATGGGTTGAAGCTCCTTGGATATAAACACAAGTAAAAAGTCAAATTTCAGGGGGCAAATCCTATAAATATTCTTCACTTGCGGGGAATGGTGTAATGTAAGCCAGTTGGTCAAAAGTAGGGTGATGCCCTCCAAGTAAGTGATCCATAGTTTGCAAGTGAGAACAAGCAAAGGAGAACAAGCACTTACATACCTCACTTCTTCTAAGCCACAAATGCAAGTGCTAACATTATAGATTCAATACATAGTCTAATTTAAACTTAGAAAAAGCTTTGAGACACAAAAGATAGCACCCAAAGTACTATATATTTTCGGATTTTACAAATCCTGGATTAAGTGTATTCTTTTCAGGGGCACTTTTCTTAATGTTTTAAAACATTTAAGATGTTTAATGTTTAAATGTTTATTTTTAATGGGCTAGAAGTAGAGGACATGAAATAATGAAGCTGCCTGAAATAAAAAGCAGTTTCTTTAAAAAAAAAAGTTTATTTTTTGATTTCTTTCAAGTTGATAGCTAAAAGCTAGATATCATACCACTGTCCATTAAGTATTATACATTTGATTTTCATGATTATATGTTTGAGTTTTCTTTATGCATATACTCTACAAAATTACCTTGAAAGGTCACATTTTAAACTAGTTTGGAAAACTGAAATAATTTCAAGCGTAAAAATCCTTTATATTCATTCTCTCTATACTACATGATCAAAATTTAGTTTGTCTTTCTACTTTCACAGAAGCAAATCAATTTCCGAGAATCAGTGTTCTTCAGGAGTTTGAAAATAATAACATCCCAAGTTTTTAATGGCCTTATTAGTTGTAATAACTAAACCTTTTTCTTCCTATCAATCCCAAAATGTTCCCATAAATCCCCCAAATAATGATCTGACACTGAAAAAAATGTTCCACATCCCGTGAGGTATAACAGCTCCAATTCATTAAAAACAACCATACAAACTAGTAATTAATCATGAAAATAAATCTTTTTTTTTGCTGGCAGCTTGATGACCTTAAACTAGTCACTCTGGGTCCTTAAGGTGGCCAAATTAGATGATCTCTAATGGCTTCTAATGCTAACATTATAGAGTCATTACACAGTCTAATTTAAAAACATTCTCCTACATAGAGAGTAGCAATTATCAAAAGACAAGTGTTAAATGGGGACTCATTCAAAGAGTCTATTGCAGATGATGGCTGTAGTATTTCCAATGCTGTTCAAATTCCAACTGACATGGTTTACTTATACATTATAGGCAACACTATTGCAAAACAGGCTTAATTTTTTAATGTAAATACTTAATGCACCAAAAATTTTAAAATACCTACTAAATAATCAGTGTCAGGATATTTAATTAAATTATTAGACATAATGTTCTTCAGCCAGATCTATGTCAGTCATGAAGAAATTCACTGCTGTATATAGCACATTTGGTAACTGCTGCTAGTGCTGCCCACATTTCCCATACAAGAGAAACACATGGCCATGTTAAACTTCCCTTCTCCTTGCAGAAGAAATAGGATGTGGTATGGTGTCTGGACTTTGCGATCATAATTCCAGTTCTGATCCTTAAGCAAAGTCATATATGCAAAGTATGCATTTAATCTCTACTAAACTCACTTTTAACATCTTCAAAATGGAATGCCAATCCTTCATAACAAGTCATAGCAGACTTTTATTGAAAACCATACAGGAGGGGCCTCCCTGGTGGCACAAGGAGTTAAGACACAACCTATGAAGCAATCACAGCCACTGCGGCAATAGTTCCATCCCCGGCCAGGGAGCTGCCCACATGGCGCAGCAGACCTCTCCTGACTCGCCCGCTGCTCCCCTCAGCAATCTGCCTGTTCTGTTCCCCACTATGTCTCTGGTGAATCCTCTCATCCACCATGCCCTGGCCTGTGTCCCAGTTCTTGTATGCATAAATAAATTAAAAAAAAAAAAAAAGAAAGAAAGAAAGAAAAAAAAAGAAAACCATACAGGAAACAGGGGCCTCTCTGGAGGCCCAAGTGGTTAAGTTGCAGCTCTATGGAGCTACTGGTAGCCATTTTCATACAAGTTAGATCCCTGACCTAGGGAGGTGACCCACATGGCACAATAGATCTCTCCTGCCTCGCCCACTGCAGCAGTGTATTTCAGTCAGTCTGTCTGTTCTGTCCCCGACTCTGCCTCTGGTGAATCCTCTTACCACCCAACCCCCTGCACCTCTGCTGTACCCCGGTTCTTGTGTACATAAATAAATAAATTTAAAAAATTAAAAAAGGGAAAAACCATCCAGGAAACACATTTGGGAATTCAGACTAGCTCTGGGTTTTGGGATAACAAAGAAATCCAGGGCCTCTCCGGTGGCACAGCGGTTGAGCACTGGGCTGCAAAGCTGCCCACTACCTCTGCAGTGCCACTTTGATCCCCGATGAGGGTCCCACATGGCGCACAGACCTCTCCTGCCATGCCTGCTGCTTCCCTCAGCAGTGTATTTCGTTAGTCTGCCTGTTCTGTTCCCCGCTTTTGCTCTGGCAAATTCTCTCACCCTCCCGCGCTTCTGACTGTACCCAGTGCTTGTATAAATAAATAAATAAATCTTAAAAAAAAAAAAAAAAATACAGCCAACAAGTAACTGTTTTTAAGACTCTCACAGTGTTTTTAAGGTTAAGTTCAACTACTGAATAAAAAACCTAATTTATTATTTATTATGGTTTACTAGGAACAATACAGAGTATTGCTTAAAAAAAAAAAAAAAAAAAAGTAACTGAACTTACCTTAAAAATCACTGTGAAAGCCTCCAAAACTTTTCATGCATTCATCAACTTGTCAAATTAGATGCACATTCTGGACTTTTTCTGTGAATTAATAATAATAGCAGCTCAAATGAGACATACCACAACCATCAAGCAAAAACACCAAAAACCAGTCTGAATTAACACTATCTTCCAGTGCAAAGAAGTATAAGTGAAAGTCTCTCAAGTCCCTCCCCAACTCCATTCTTTCCCCAACCACTCTTCTTCCCATCTCAGCTGCCTTTGACGTTTTCAATGTAAAGTGGTTGAGAATTCAGGATCTGAGGCAAGCTGACAGACTGGTTTTAAATTCTAGCCATACCACTTACTGTGATCACCTTGGGTATGTTCCTTAACTCCTGTGACTCAGTTTCCTCAAGCATGACAAGAGAGGTTAAGTTAGCTATAGTCTTACCTTCCTCATAAAATCCACCTCATGGGCCTCCCTGGTGGTGCAAGGGGTTAAGCACCGCACTATCATGCAAACCGTAGCCACTGCAGCATGAGTTCGATCCCCGGCCAGCCAGGGAGCAACCCACATGGCGAAGTAGACCTCTCGTCTCGCCCGCTGCTCCCCTCAGCAGTGCTTCAGTTAGTCTGCCTGTTCTGTTCCCCACTCTGTCTCTGGTGAATCCTCTTACCCCCACATCCCTGGCCTGTACCCCAGCTCTTGTATGCATAAATAAATAAAATCTTAAAAGACTAAAATAAAACCCACCTCCTGAACAATGCTCGAAGACAAACTTTGTAATATATGAACACAATTGTCCCTCCTCTGTACAATATTCTCAAAACATCACAAAATTCACCTGATAACATCTAGAATCCTCTGGTAGGCTTTCCAAGACCATCTCCCTTCACCTCCCTATTCAATACATTCAAGCAATACTGTATTACTCTAAAGTTCCTTAAATGAAAAGTGAAAAAAAGTTTGTATATTCTTGCAGCTCCATGACACACAAGCCATTTCCTCACGCACAAGCCATTTCCTCAACCTGGAACACAATGTCCCTGCCCCATCCCTACCCCTACCTCAAAATTTGCACCTACCCCTTCATTCTACTGGTAAAGTCATTTTAGCTTGGGTGATACCTCCTCTTATTTACAAAAGTAGCCCCAACTCCCTCTGCAGTTTGAGAGACTTTCTCTTGCGTTCCCCCCTGTATTTCAAAAAACAATTATCTCCTTTTACAGTTAAACGTATCTCTCTATTTCTATGCATGTTTCTTTACTAGAGCATAAACTCCAAAATCAGGAAATATATACTACCTCCACTGGCTCATTGGTTAGCACATGGTAAATGCTCAATAAATGCTAGTAAACAAACATAAAATTAACGAGCTAATGTTTATATCTATTGCTTTTACAAATTATCTGCAGATAACTCCTCTTAATCCCCCTCAGGATAGGAGAATTGAAGACATACGTTTTGTGTCAGAGACTTTACAGTAATAATAAGAAAAGCACTTATTTACAGGTAACATTTACAGGTAAATAGTAGGAAATTGAAAAATCTAGAAAACCCTTAGGGAAGAGAGGGTTACTAACTGGGGAGGAGCATGAGGCAACCTTCTAGTGACTGGAAATTTTCTACACCTTGGTCTGGATCATGGTTAAAAACACAAGCAGTAGTACCTTTAATATTAATGCATTTTACTGAACAACTATGCTAACTTCAATGACAAAGACACATAATACATGTATCAAGTATGCAGTATAGGACTCTGGATTCAAATCATAACCATAGATTTAGACAATGGACAAGATATTTAACTCCTCACTGTTTCAATTTGCTTATTTGTAAAATTAGGATATTAGAATTATAACTAGCACAAAGTACTGTATTTTTAAATCTATGAGTAGTAAACTTTTTCAACCGATAGGTCTAATAACTTCCAGTCTCTCTTCTTTCTTGAAATGAATCATGAGCACCGAATTTACTATCTAGCAAGTACAAAAATAAATGGTGTATCAAAAAATATTTATCATTACAGTCTGAATGGTAAATCATCAGCCTACCTCTCAAGCTTTTGGATGAAAAGACTCTGTGATTACTCAGGGAAGCCAAGTGCCAAGGACAGGGTTTTGGATGGTGCTGTCTGGCTTATCATTGGTCCCGTCATCTTGGGAATATATGCTATACAGGCTGCCAATCCCTGTATTAAAGTAAATGAAGACTATGACAGTAAGTTTTCAGCTATACATCTTTCTCCTTTTCAAGATGAGAGAAGCACAGTACTCAGAATAGGCTAAACAATGGGTAAAATAGGCAGGTACAAGGAACTGTGGAATCAGTTAGAACGTGCCACAGCAAGAAACAAGAAGGCAAGAGCCTGGCACCTAAGCTACTCTCTGGCAAGTGTTCTCTTGAAACTAAATGTTCTCATTTGTAATACTAATAAGGTAGTTTACCAGAGTTATTGATAGAAACAAGTACAATAATGTACTCATAAAAATCTATGAATCAATAACAAACATGAGGTATTTATTTTAGTAATTCTCTTCCTTTAAAACTGACAACATTTTTTTGGGCCTCCCCGGTGGCACTGTGGATTGAGAGCAGCACTGTGAAGCTGTCCGCAGCCTCTGCAGCGCGGATTCAATTCCCAGCCAGCCAGGGAAATTCCCACATGGCACGGCAGAACTCTCCTGTTGCGCTCGGCAGACCTCCCCTCAGTAGTGCTTTCAGTCTGTCTGCCTGTTCTGTTCCCCTCTGTGTCTCTGGTGAATCCTCTCACCCTCCCACACCTCTGGCCTGTATCCCAGTTATTTATTTATACGCCAGTATAAATAAAAAATAAATCTTTAAAAAAAAAAAAACAAAACAAAAACTGACAAAAATTTTAAGCTCCAGATTAAGGCTCTCCTAGGTAAGTGTACCTGTGGTTTCACAGAACACACCCTTAATCCCTTGGCTACCCCACTCATCAAAATTAATAATGACACTTGTGTAACAAACATCACACATTCTCTCTGAGGTTCTCCTTTGATAAAAATCATTTTCCAGCATCCCCTTCAGTGGCAGATGTTTATTTTTGCATACCTTACCTCTTTTAGAATTGGATAGTAGAGCTTATGTCCTTGTTGCACCTCAAAGCCTCTTCCAGGTCATTACTAGTCTATTAAAAAACCTTGCCCTGCTGAGACGTATATTCTTTCTCACTTCTGCCTTGCTGTCTAGTAGTAGGCTCCATATCACTCCCTCACTGATCAAAGGCTTTTGGCAACTGCTTCAGGTTCCTTCTGTACACCAAGTCCTGTCACCACCCTAGGTGACGTCAGTGTTAATAGTTGTCAGGTACCCATAGCCTCTAAGATTTTTTCAGTCTTCTCACCTCTAATGAACTTCATTATTCCACCTCTTGTCACTAAATCTGTAACATGTCGCAGATCAACATGTAACATGTCCCATTTTCTGACCATATCCTTCTGACCATATCAGGTTCATCAACCATAACCATTCTCTGACTACCTAGGAATTACCTATGAACTGCTCCTCTACTTTTTCCCAATTCATTTATATGTGTGTGTATGTGTATATATGTGTGTGTATATACACATAGACATATACACATACACATATATACACACACACATACACACACACATAAATATATGTTTTACTTCCTTTTTTTTTCCCTGCTCAGATTCTTTGGACTATTCAATTACACTCTTGGAATTATCTTTTGTCTCTGTCTTTTTGTCATCCTCATCTAGCAAAGCTCCAACTCAAACTAAGCCAACTATCTGTTTTGAGTCTAGTCCTGAGCTGTCAACTATTATTGGAGAAAGTGACAGATCTGTTTGACCAACTTCAAATGTACCTTTCAGATTCTTTAACTTTCTTGGATCAATTCATCTTCCCATTCTCTACAATCACTATTTCAAATTGTTCTGACTCCACTCTCAAACTTCTGACTCTTTCAATCTCAGTATTACATTGTTTGACAAAGAAAACAGACTTATTAGATTGGAAATAATCTGCTATTAAACACAAACAGTATGTCCACTAGTATTAACCCTCCTTTCTTCTTTCTATGTCTGTTTCTCCTTCTATTCAATACCAATTCTTCCCCCAGCCTTTGTATCTTCTCCCTGTCACATTCTCCAATACCTGACATCATGAGTTATCCCTTCTCTCTCACAGTCACCTCTATGGAAACACTTAGATTCTTCCAATTAGTACTTCCAGCGTCTTACTGCCTATTCCTTTCCTCCCCCTCTGATATTTGTAATATTTCCACCTCTCTCACCTCTTCTTCACAGTCAAACTTCTTGAGAGTATAGTAGATATTTGCTGTCTCCAGTCCCTCACTTTCCACTTAGTCTGCAACCTATTCCTATTATTTCTATTCCCAGAACTCAAACAAAGAGCTCTCACCATGGTCGCCAACAAACTTGCTGCTCTGTTTAGTGATAGGTATTTTCAGGCTGCATGTCCTTTCTCAGCAACATTTGATGCATCTGAGTACTCTTAACCTTACAATACGGTTCTGGTGTTCCTCCCTAATACTTTTCTAGCTATTCTTTCCTAATCTCTGCAGGCTTCTCCATTTTACCAAGTCATTATATGATAGGTTCCTAAATGCTCAGTACCAGACCACTTTATCTTTTCACTCCAGGTTCTTATCCTAGGCAATGCTTCAAACACCATCTATTCACAGATGACTCAATTTACCAGTTACCACCTCTCAGCTAAGTACCCACATACTTGACATCTCTTAAATATTTCAAAAGTACTTCAAACCCAATATATTCAAACGTGAATTCAATTGCTGTCTCTACCCATACTTGGTCTCTTTCTACTGTTTTCATGATCAATGAAGGGTATCATCTATTTCATTGTGTGAGCTAGAAACAAAGCAGTTATGCTTGAAATGTCTCTTTCCTTCATCTATCCATATCTAATCCACCAGTAAAAGCTGTCAAATTAACCTCCTAATATCTCTACAATCCATTCACTTCCATCTCCATTGCCACCCCCTTAGTATAAACCATTATCGCTCAGTGAAGCTACTTCAATGTTACAGTTATCTGCCAATCCATTCTTAGCAAAATAAAAATTCTCTGTCTGTACTCTCACCTCTTCCCCATTAAAATGCCCCAAAGAATGTTTTCAGACAAAGAAAAACAATCTTAGCAAGTTCCTAGCACAAGATCTATAGTCCTCATTTACCCAACAACTTAATCACTTAAGTCTCTTTTTTACTCCCTATTCTCTAGCCCAAATGTGCTTCTTTTGGTTCCTGCAGGCTCTTTGCACATACTGTTCTTGCCTGGGACACATCCCTCCCTTCCTATCCCCATCCTTTTCATCTAGTTACCTCATCTTCACTTTTTTAAGGTCACAGTCATCACTACTTCATAAAAAACTTTATAGACTCTCAGGCCAGGATCCATTCATTTGACAAACCCCAATCCGAAATTAAATCAACTACCTGTTTCTTTGTGCCAGACACAAGCTGCCAGCTGTTGTTCAACACACTGAAATATACTACCATCATCAAATGCACTGTTTAAGATAATCCTGCTTTTTATAAGCAGTTATAGCATTATGCGCCTCTACTTCATAGCTTACACATGCAAGAAAAATTAGTTTTTATCTCTGTAGTGTTTACCTGAGTGTGCCTTGCCCACTTTAAAATACTTCTCCTCACCAGTGTATCCCTAATGCTTAGCCCTGTGCCTGCCAGAGTCGGCTCTCAAAATATAACTCAAATTAAGTCTCAAACTCATTAAGTTCCTTACCTTGTAAATCTTCCATCAATTCAAACATTCCAGGATAGTTAACTTGAATTTCATCAGTGTCCTATTAAAAGTAAAAAGGGGGGAGGGGGGAGAATATTCACTTGACATTCATGATAAAAAATACAGATTTAAAAAGAGGTTGTTTTATCACTTCAATTACTGCAGTTATTGTTGACATCTGAGAAACAGCCTTCTTGTTAACTGAGGTACATTTTGTTTGAGCTACTTACTCCACTACAAATAATTAATTTTTCTCATTTCCATAGTACAGTGGTTAGCAGATTCACCTCAACAAAATAATTTTTACATTCTTGTGTGTTAATCGAGATATTTTTATATAAACTAACAAAGAGAGCAAGAGCAAGAAAATGCCAAAACCTTTCTATATCAATACCTCATTTTCTATCTCTAAAATGAGAAGTTGTCTCTGAACTACGTAATCAATGGGTTACTTGATCCTCTTGATAGTTACCACAGTCAGTGTATTGAAGCCAGCTCTCCCCAGCAGATGTCCTAGGTCATTGACAGCAGTGAATGGAGAGATATGTGGAGAAAATCCTCCTTCCCTTTCTGTTTCTGATAACTGTAATGAACACCGAAGTTCATAAAGCGTGTCACCTCCAAACATTGCACCAATAAATACTCCATCTGGTTTCAAAACATAATGAATCTGTAAGAAATATAAAACAAAACTATTCAAAATTTTATATATAAAAATTGTTTAAATAATAAATACATGGTGTCTAAATCAATATGATTACCATTATTTTGTCAAATTAGTAAACATAATATATAATATCTATAATAACCAACTGTCAGAAAGTAATTGCCTTATGATATTATTGTAAAGATAGACAATACATTGAACTGGAATAAGCAGACAGGAAAATGAATGAATATGTTATTTTTCGTTAGAAGTGTTTCAGTCTTTAGTCTTTGTTGCTTTTGTTGACTAGAAATATGCCATAAGAACTTAACTAATCCTCATATCAATTAGCCTATAATAAAACTGGTTTTTATACTTAATATATTATAAAGCAATTACTAAATAGTATATAAGCAAACCAACTTTAAAACCTTTGATTTTATTCCTCTGCCCCTTTAAAGTTACTGTTTTCTCTTGTCATCAAACTCCAGTACAGCAGGTACCTATTTAGTACTCAGCAATTTGCAGCTTCTTTCTACCTCAAAAGATTTATCATTTCCATGGATTTTAGAAGAATTGACTCTTCAGTCTGTATCTTTATGTCATCCCAGAACCCTAAATTCAACTTCAACTGCCTGGGGAATAGACATTTGTCTCTTGTTTCAATCCCCGAACAAATCCAACACATACCCAACACTCATTCTCAAAAAAAGTCCTCGCCCTATCAATTACCATTTTCTATTCCCATTATCTGATCATTACCATTCTTTCCCCCAAATTATTCTCCTAGGCACCTAAACTCAAAACTTTAGGTTGAGCAGTGACTCGTCATTCTCTTTGATCTAATCAGTCACCAAACTGTTGATTTTTTGTTTGCAGAGTTCTAAATGCCTCTCTCCTTTTTACAAGACCTACCATTGCCACCTGAGTTTAGTTTCTCATGCCTGGATCACCGAAACAGTCCCTCTTCTATTTAAATAAATTTTCCTGACATCAGTATTCTAATAAGCAAAACAAAATATCCTGCAGTCACTTAAAAATATATATAAAACAAAGCAGTGACTAGCACATAGTATATACTTAAGACATAGTAGCTATCTTGCCTACCAGCTTTTTTTTTTTTTTTGTAAGATTTATTTATTTGTTTATACAAGCACTGGGTACAGTCAGAAGCGCGGGAGGGTGAGAGAATTCACCAGAGCCAGAGCTGGGAGCAGAGCAGGCAGAAGAACCAAAGTACACTGCTGAGGGGAGCAGCGGGCTGCAGGAGAGGTCTGCGCGCCATCTGGGACCCTCCTCCGGTGGCCGGGGAGCAGCCGAGGATCGAACTGGCGCTGCAGAGGCTGCGGGCAGCTTTGCAACCCAGCGCTCAACCGCTGCACCACTGGGGAGGCCCACCCACCAGCTTTTTACTCATGCCATTCTCTTCAAAATACTCCGGTGGCTCTAAATCTGTCACCTAAGTACTTCTAAAACTGGCCTCAATATACCCCATCTCCCAGTTCTATACTAATCTCCAAAATCTAAGGCTTCCTCTCTGTCCTTCCATTCTCCCGAGACTCTCATACCTCTCCTACTTTATCCTGTGATTCTGCCTTCCTAGAATGCTTTTATGCTCTAAATCCAATCCACCCTCTACGGGTCTATTCAAGAAAGTTCGTTCTCTTGAACTTCCCTGGATCACTCCAAACTATAGTGATCTCTTCCTTCCCCTGAACATAATGCTTTTTACCTACCCCTTGCCTGTTTGCTGATGAATGTCAACCAGCAAATATTTACATAGCACACTCTACAGAGCACAGAGAAGACACAAATATAAACAAATAGGTTCTTATAAAAAATTTATCGGCAACTAAGGAACAAAAGAAACACACACAGAAAACGTCTTATATCAATATTATTTCCACAGTTACTTAAGTTTTCTACATATTTAAAACATATCCATTAATTAGAGTTCTTGAATTTCCAAGGAGGGGGAAATGACCCCATGTACTTAATATGCCAAAGAGTATCAAGTATTCACAGCCCACAGAAGAAAATACTTGATTTGCTTCCATTTTCCAACTGTCAGAACTGTAAAATGGGTTTATAATGTTTGAATAACAACATGGATTATGAGAATCAACATTATGTTTTCTCACCTGTTCAAGTGCTCTAGGAAGATCATTCACCCAGTGCAAACTACAATAAGAAAATATATTATTTGTTGTAGCTTAATTCATATAATTAGTATAATTACTTCTAGTATAATGATACATTATAAAAACGTGCCAATTTTGAAATTTGAAATTACACACCAAATTTCACCGATAGTTTTCATACAAATTTTAAAATAAAAAATATTCCTAAGAGAATAACCTTCCATGTCACACTAGAAAATGTGACAGTAAATCACTTTGCTGTTAAGATTTTCTGCCCAGGTTTTTCTTCACCGAATAAAGTAAAAGTCAGTTTTCCAAAGATATACAAATGGCCAACAGGTTGATAAAAAGATGCTCAAAATTATTAATCATCAGGAAAAGCACAATATCATATCACTTTATACCTATTAATGTGCATGCTAAGTAAAATAAGTCAAGCAAAAAAAGACAAATACTAAACATTCTCATATGCAGAATCTAAAAAAGTCAAACTCATAGAAAAAAAGAGTATAATGGTGGCTGTCCAGGTAAGGATGACAGAAACAAGGATATATTGGTTAAAGGGTACAAATTCTTATTGTGGCAATCATTTTACAATACATACATGAACCTAATCACTATATTGCATACCTTAAATACATATATTAATAATTTTTCAATAAAAATGAGGGGGTGAGATAAAGTAAAAGACATTCTTATCTGGCATCTAACATGAATTGTTATTCTGAGACTTTTTTAAAGGAAACAGTGAAAATAAGTACCTGACAACATGTTCAATGAAGCTCATCAAGTAAATCAATTAATTAAAGCTAGAGATACATAGTATCTAAGTCTCACTTTCTTAGAAAAAAGTAAAATTCATCAACACACCTATAATTTCCCCAGCAAATAGGATTATTCACCAGAACTTTAACTCAGTGAGTTTTCTGATAAATAACACATTTTTTAGTCATTACAAAAAAAGAGTTCTATGAACTTAAAAACTTAATTCAAGCAACTTCTTGCATTGTCTATTGACTCTATTTAAACTTTAATGATAAGTGACAGAAAGACTTCACAGCCTTGGTGTCTGTATAGTCATAATTTCCTGGTGGAGTTGCTATACTCCTATGCTGACTTTCAGGACAGCACTGAACACCCACTTCAAACCATGTTGTATTATATTTATCTTTCATAATAATTGATTGATAATAACTGACTAAATGGAGAAACTGAAAATGTAAGAAATTAGTTACTTGATAATAGCAAGATGAGCCAAAGTAAAACTCAGGTTCTGACTCCATGCTCAGGAGTCTTTTCTTTAGAATAAGACTTTATGATGATTTTTAATGTCATGATAGAACCTGAATACTTTTCTAAATTTGTTTAGACGCTTCAAAAAGCAAGCAAGAAATTACAAAACTCAATGAAGAAAGCAGCAAAAGTAACCAACTCTCCCAGTCTGCCTGCGAATGAGGGTTTTTGAGACATAGGCCTTTCAGTAACAATATTAGCAAAGTCAAGCAAACTGATGATTGTTACCCTACAAAAAGCTATCAAATGGGTTGTACTGATATAAGAATGTTCTAACATTTGAATTTTGGAGCCAGTATATAGGTTTCAAATTCCTATTCCCATCAATGTCAACTGCAGGATACTAATTTAAAAGGGAGGAAAACCCTTCGTTACACATGAGCTTCAGCAAACTGAGGAAAGCTGGGGGGATAGAGGCAGAGGTGAGATATTAAATCATATTATATCCACTGGGGGGCATAAAATCCAAAATTCTATACCAGAGAAATTTTCCAAGGAATTGAAGATGGTTTGTAAGTTAAAAAAAAAAAGTAAACTAAAAATTTACTCCATTATCTATTTTCTTTATCCTATAATATTAATACTTTATGGCATAAATTATAACATAATTTTTAAAGTATAAATGGTTTACCAACCTTAAACTGCTAACCACCAGGTCAAATGAATTTTCTTGGAACGGAAGGAATTCTTCATCAGCTAAAACACTGACAGCAGGAATTTCTGTTTCTAAGCTATTTTTCTAAAGTTCAAAAAAAAGTTCAAAAACACATTTATAGAAAATTTCAATTACTAATACAATCATAGCATGTAAGATTAAAGTCACTGTTACATTTATGTGGTTTCTACCCCATGACCCCCCCCCCAAAAAAAACACAGAGAAGGCACTTAAAAAGTATTATTTAAAAAATATCAATTAGGGCCTCCCCGGTGGCGCAGCGGTTGGGCGCTGGGTTGCGAAGCTGCCCGCAGCCTCTGCAGCACAAGTTCGATCCCCGGCTGCTCCCCGGCCACCGGAGGAGGGTCCCACATGGCGCGCAGACCTCTCCTGCCGCCCGCTGCTCCCCTCAGCAGTGTACTTCGGTCCTTCTGCCTGCTCTGCTCCCCGCTCTGGCTCTGGTGAATTCTCTCACCCTCCCGCGCTTCTGACTGTACCCAGTGTATGTATAAACAAACAAACAAACAAACAAATAAATAAAAACATGCCTCTATAAAAAAAAAAATCTTAAAAAAAAAAATAAATAAAAAATAAAAAATATCAATTAGATGGAAAACATAAATAGGACATCCACCTCACATTAAAACAAACCTCGGAAATCTGAAAGTTTCAGTGGAATAACTGAAGTGACATAAGTACTACAGGAAATATGGGTGAGCATTTTTACATTCTTAGACAAAAACACTTAAGTAAACAAGACTGGAATGTCAGAAATTGAAAATAAAAAGGCGGATATATTTGGTGATAATCAAAAACTTCTAAAAAGTAATAATGTAAATGCCACACTGGGGAAAATATTTAGAACATATATGATGAAAGATTAAAATGCATCCCCAAAATACAAGTTTTTACTATCTAGAACAAGAACATTCCAAGGTCAACGAAGAAAGTATGAAGTATATGTACAATGTAAAATTACTTACAAAATTCGCGTTAAGAATTTCTAATAGTCAAAAGATATTAACTAGCTGTTAGTAATCAAAGAAATGCAAAGAAAAATAATAATATTCTACTTTCTGACTAGGAAATTGACAAAAACAAAAACACTTTGGTCCTGTTTTGCCAAAGACAAGGAGAAAAAAATACTTTTACATATTTTTTAATATTTCTAAATGCAGTGTAGAGATACATATCAAAAATTAAAAGACAAACATCATAAATCCATAAATTATTTCCAGAAAGAAAAATACATCAAAAATACAAAGTTACATCACATAAGGATACTCATCATATTACTGGTTATCAAGAAACTAGAAATATAAGTGTCTTTCTAAAGTGATTCAGCAAAAACAAACATGGAATATAGGTATGTATCATTTAACAGTGGGGATATGTTCTGAGAAATGCATTGATAGGCAATTTCATCACTGTGTACATGTCACAGAGTGCAATTACACAAACCAAGATGATACAGTTTAACAGACACCTAACCTAGAACTACTGTTATATATTGCAGTCATTGACTGAAATGTCAATGTGTGGCAATGTCTGTATTAATATGGGAATACTACATAGTCATTTCAAGAGATGGTGGGTGTATGGCACATGTCAGTTTTGATGTAAAAGAATGACACGCTGTGAAAAATATGGCACACAAGCACTGACATGAAACTATGTTTTGGAAAGATAGGTATATGTGATTTTTCCTTTCTCCTTTATATTTCCTGCCTTTTATTCTGTGTATGTACTATATTTATAATCAGAAAAATAATGCTATTTTCATTTTGAAGGAAATAAAGAGAGAAGAACTGAAAATCCAACCAGGAAATCAGAAACCAACAGGATTAAAAAGTTACCTACCAGAGCATTTTCTGCAATGTCTGTTTGGAAAAACTTTCCAACAGTTTCCTACAATGGAATGAAGTTGATCAGATAAAACTAAAACAAAACAAAAATTCCAATAATAAAACAACTATTGAAATTGCTAAAGGAGAAAGTGGTTATTATAGATCTATTTTCAGCTTTGTAAGGCTAGTTTTCTGCATAAAACCAGTATGATACCTTTATATATTAAATATCTTTATTTTTTTCAAATATCTTTAATAATGAATATTGTTGCACAGATTAAAACATATGCAGCCAACTCAGTAAAGTTCCCACTCATGTGCCACAAAAAAATGTGGCAATTTCTTTCTGCCCATTAGCTGTTCATTACAGAGCTTACAAAGAGTATAGAAAAATCTCAGCTTCCTTGCTCCTCCCTGGCCTGGTTCCACAGGCCTGGGAGTCCCACTTTATTTCTGCTCCTTTTCTCCCTAATAAGCTTTCTCTTTCTCTTAAAAAAAAAAAAAAAAAGAGTATAGAAAATCTTAACAAATACGGATATGTGGAGAAACCCTATTGGTTTCATTTCCGTCCATTTTGCCTATCCTCTCTCTCTTCTAAGGGTAAACGGTACCATGATATTTCTCTTTCAGACTAACACCTTATTCTATGTTCTCTTTTCTTCAGAATCCTGTTCCCTCCATCACCATCCCTACCAATTTTTAATTTCTGTCTTCTGTCTTCTGTGTCTCTTTCCCTCACCTTACAATAGGCATAAGCCTCCCAATCTTGAAAAACCTCCCCCACCTTCTAGTTGCTGTGTTTATAATCCATGACTATTTTCACATATGTCTCTGTGTAATATCACTTACATGTGGAATCTAAAAACAGTCAAATGTATAAAAAACAAAGAGTAAAATGAAGGTTGTAAGAGTTAAATGGTGATTACCAGGGGGTTGGGGGCTTAGGGGAGAAGACTGATATTTAAAGGCACAAAACCGCAATGACTAGTAAACAACCCAGAGAGATCTAATATATAATAACTATAGACAGATAATTACACTATAGATATAATTAGATAGAAAAGTTAAATGTCACTATATATGTATAAATGTTCCAAAAAACATGCTGCATTTCAACTTATACAATGATATATGTCAAATATATTCAATTAAAAAAAAACTAGCCAATTTTTTCCATCAAACATCTATACCTTATTCAAATGTTGTGCTATGTAACCTCGTCCACAGCCAACATCCAAAGCAAGGGGAAAATCTCTTAAAAAAAAAAAAAAAAAAACAGAAAAATTATGCTTTGTCTGCAACATAATGGTACATAAAATAGTTTTTAAGAAATAATTTCTCATAAGTGAAAAAAATTTTTGTAAACACAACTTACAATGAGTTGTATCATCTACCTTTTCTGCCTCACCTGACAAGTTGTATCAAAGAACAGACCAGACAGAGTAGTTTTGTCTGACCTAGTCACTCATAGGATCACAAATCAGTTGGTTCTCCCTAAGTTGCTCCATGTTGTGGGTTTGAAGATTTAATAAGTGTATTTAATTTGATAACACATACAAAGGAATGTAAATATGAAAATATTCAGGATTCTTATCAGGAAATAATTATTCCTACTTCTCAAATTTGTTAAGGCAGCAGATGTCTTAAAAATCATGTGAAATACCATGAATTATGAATATGTTAGACTAAAAACAAAATACCAATTAAATAGCTGTTACTAATAGCTTACCAGGTTTAAAGTATCATACTATGTGTTCAAAGTTAAGCAAGTCACCCCAAGATCACTCAACTAATAAGAATTCAAATTCTGATTTGAATTCTGAACCAGAACTACTATCCCCTCTGCTCCAAATATAGCAAGTGATACCAAAACTGGATCACATATAATTAAAGGCCATAGAGTTAAATACTTGAGGCCAGAAAACAATCTTACTAATAAACATTTTTCCAACTAGAATCAAAAAGTCCCTTTGCAATATCCGGTAAAAACCTATACCAAAAATATGGAATGCCAGTATGCAGTTGGAGAATCATTAGAGAGAAAGAACTATTCATTTATTTAATGCCCTCTGTTTTGATTATGAATATAGTCAGTATGGCAAGGCAAAGCTTTGAGATCAAAAAGATATGGGTTAAAATTCTGGGTCTGCAATCTGGTGGCCATAGACAACTGATTTAAATCTTATTGTATCTCAGTTTCCCCATCAAGAAAATGGAAAAGTTATTACTTCCCTCAGGTTGGTAATTCTCAGCTTGAGAATTTTATGAAACAGTGCAGTAAAATGTGCAACAAAAGTTAGTTATGAGTTAGCTATTAATCTCTGATTATAACATCATTAAGCGAGTCTCAGACCACACAAATACGACATTTAGTAATATGTGGGGTAAGTTTTTAAGTGAACAAGGCCTGAATACCAGTGCTGAAAATATAAACTACTTTTATTAATAATAGAATGTCAGTGCAAGAACATTTAGAGTGGTATTTTTAATAATTTAATTCCCAAGAGTGAATGTTAGTTTAGACATGTTTTTACCAAGCTAAGGGTCATATAAAGACAAACTTAAAAACTAATTCTTCAAAACTGACTATAGAACTGAAGCAGAGAAGGGAGAGGGTGAGGTAAGGGTAGAATAAAAAGGGAAGGAAGCACAATGGACTAAGGTGGTAGATTACGGGTGATTTAGTGATGGGTGCACTATAGTGGCAATATGTGACGGAAGTATCTTAATATTGCCTCGATAAAAAATAAATGTATTTAAAAAAATATATAAGTTAAACTTTCATTCATATAACAAGACAAAAAGTATGGACATGCTTTTAGTCATAATCATAGGTCTCTTCATTGACCTGTGTTTTGTTTAGTACTACAACATAAAAAGACTATAAAATCCAAACTGATTTGGAAACTTTAATGTTTCATTTATTAAATCACAAATAGCCTGAAATCCAGGAAAATGAATGACTACAGTAAAAATAGTAAGTGATTTTTTTCCTTAGAATTAGCTACTTCAGATTTTTTTTTAAGATTTATTTATTTATTTACACAAGAACCAGGGTACACGCCAGATGTGCGGAAGGGTGAGAGGATTCACAGAGACAGAGTGGGGAACAGAACAGGCAGATTGACTGAAATACACTGCTGAGGGGAGCAGCAGGCATGACAGGAGAGGTCTGCTGCACCATGTGGGCATCTCCATGGCTGGCGGGGATTGAACAGACACTGCAGAGGCTGCAGACAGCTCCACAGCGCTGTGCTCAACCGCCTGCACCACCAGGGAGGCCCACTTCAGATTTTTTAAAATGAAATAAAAAGGATGAAGTGGGTGTCTATTTGCAACAATGATGTATTTTTTTAATCTTATGAAATTAATTCATCCCAAGACTTATGCAACAGGATAAAGCTAAAATATTGAGTTTGTGATTTTCACAAAATTCTTTTGATAGGCAAATGTAATACATTTATCTCATACTGGTCAAATTTAGTGGCTGTCTTTTTAAACAAAAGAGTACAATAAGTGATTTGCTAATGTCTCATAGTAATTTTAAAACAAAGCCATTGTAGATCTCCCTCAATTACCATGGGGTTATGTTCCAATAGAGCCATCACAAGTTGAAAATATTTTAAGTCAAAAATATTTATGGAGCTGAAGCCCACCACTAATTCCCAGCATTATAAGAAAATATCATATCTCAATTTCTACTGAATGTCTCTTTCATCCCTCCATAAATTTTAAAAATTGTAAGTAAAACCAATATAATCTGTATTTAACTGTGGTTTCCACAATGTAGTTGTAAACCTTGAATCTGTAAAGCAGATGAGAAGGCACTTTTCTCAAATCTGCTTCTATATAATTGTTACAGAACCCTCTTGGTATTAATAAGACTTAAGATAAAGTGTAAGGGGGGAAAAAAAGAGGAAGTCAAAATTAACAAAATAAAACATTTTAAAAAAAGACAGGATAAAATTATCAAGGTCTCATAAACTCATTGGGGAACGATTCTAGGTAGACTTTCTACCTAAGATGGCTAAAAAAAAAATCTGTTTTATTAAACATTTAAAAGTAATTTAAAGGTAAGTTTAGTAAATCTTAAAATTCCTTTTTTGGAGGATTCTTTCATTACTGGTTTTTGTCAGATCAAGTAGATCAGTCATTCAGATTCAGAAGCTATGAGCTGTGTAGTTCTATCTTTTTTTTTTTTTTTATACTAGAAAAGAACACTTGCTCTCTCAGACATACAAAAAAAGGAGACTTAGAGAGGGATTAAATCACTTATACTGGCAATAAATTCCTCTAGATCCTGCCATTCAGACAGCAAGTTCTCAGAATTTAGGCTCAAATTTTTAGTCAAGAGTTGATTATATCTAATTATGACAATCATCACTTACCTGGCTATGTCATATACACGATCCGCAATCCGACTTCCAACCTTAAATATAACAAAAGGAAAAAATGAGTGGATTTGACAAAGGTACACTCAGTACCCAGTACTCAACAATCCATAGGCACTTATCTTTTAACTGTTGATAAATACTCCCCTTTATCCCTTTTTTCAAACTTTCCACAGCAACTTTCTTTCAAATTCTGATAGGAATCCAGGAAACAAACTGAGGCAAATTGCTTCAGAAGTCAATTTAAGGAAACCAAGACTAAACATTCTTTAGTTTAACTCTTTCAATTCCATGTGTCATAATTCTGCATAGATAAAAGGCAACAGGAAAAAAAACAGGCACATGGTTGTTTAAAGATAATAGCATGAGGTATATGAAAGTGAAAAACTAGTTAGCTGGAGTGTATATCACTATGTAACTGATCACTTAAAAAAAATCTATTAACAAATTTTGTGCAACTCCTAAATGAGCAAACAACTTTCTGAACAACATTGATAAGTTAGAAAAAGTCAGTCAAATCTAAAGAAACTATGCTTCCCATCCTCTCCTCAATGCCACCCCAATCTAAAACAGATCCTATGATAGGTGTGTACCCTTTGCTGCACTAGCTTCAATTGGCAGGAATAAAGAGGTGGGAATCTAATATTCCCCACATTCCATTCATTTTCTCATAAACATTCCAGAGTTTCTTTTAGGAGTTGAAAGTTTAGAATCTTTGGGGATATGAGTGGAAATAGCAACAGTGTTTTCCCAAATGAGTTCACTTTGTACAGCGTTCCTAATATGAGCATACACTGTGTCTATTATAAAAGGTAGTCATATACTTTATCTAATTTATTAAAGTCCTGCAAACTAGCAAGGCCTCAGTCAAGTTGTAATCCAGGCACTTTTCTTGGAGAAGGGTGGCTAGGGAAGCACATCTTCTAAGTACATGCCCCCAAGAACCCTGAACATACATACACACAATCATCTGAGAGGCCAGGAATTGCACCCAAAGTAGGAGCTCAGGAGCAGACCAATGTGTTGCATGGACTTAAAAGAGCTCCTTATACTTGACTTGAATTTTGCTACATTTACCCAGGGAGGAAGGTACTACTGCAAATCCAGAGAGAAACCCTGAATCCCTAGTTTAAGTAGGCACAGAAAAGATCTTTCAAACCAGCACAAATAAGTGATCTCCATTTATCTTAATTAATCTTTCCCAAACATAAACCAAATCTTATCACACTTGCTTAAAATCATCAGTCTCACATTTACTTCACTACTGTAGTGCCAATATTAAAATAACAGCAAAATGTGTCATTTTAAATTTTCAAGCAGCCACTTTTAAAAAAGCAAAAATCAACAGGAAATACTAATTCCAATGTATATTACTAATGACATATGTCAAGAATATAATTTCAACATAAAATCAATATGAAAAATTAATGAAGTATATTTTACATCCTTTTTCACACACTTGAAATCCAGTGTATTTTATACTTACAGCATATTTCAACCGGACTACCTATATTTCAAGTGCTCAGTGGTCACATGTGGCCAAGAGATTACCGTATTGAAAGGAAAATTCAGACACAGAAGAAAATCAAAGTCTACCCCTTAAAGCCCTGACAATCTGGCCTCCCCGGACCTCTCCCACTCCCTACTCATTAGAGGCTTCAACAAGGGTCTTCAGGCATCAAGAACTCCGCATTTCTCAATCCCTTTGCCTATAAGACTATCCCCCATCTCAGCATGTCTAATTTCTCATGTTTTCTGCTCGTGTGACCTTCCCCGATTATTGCAATCCACTTTATTTACCTCTCTTTACTTCTTTAGAGGCAATTACTGTTTCCTCCCCTCCCCCCTCCCTCCCCCCGCACGAATGAAATCCCAAGAGAGCAGCGGTCTTTGCTTTTGCCCTGGCTACACCTTTAATTCAAAAAATAACTACTAAGTGATGAATAAAGGAACGAGCGAAAAGCACCTTACAGCCCGAGCCCAGCCCTTCCGAGATGAGTAAAGGCCCAGAGAAGCAGAGTGACAGCTCAAGGTCACACCGCGAGGTGGGGGTCGGTCGGGGCTAGGCCGGTAGCTCCCCGACCCAAGCCTAAGATGGGTGCTGCCCTCCCCCAGCAGCCCCGAGGACTCACCTCCTCTTTCAGGTAGTCAAACTTCACCGTCTCAGGTTGCCGGGCCGCCCAGTTCTTCTGTTTCCTCTTCATATTGCGGTCAAAGATATTTAGGGCTCTGGCAGAGGCATTGCGCGGGGAAGAGCGGCTGGAGGCGAATTTCCTGAGGCAGAGGGTCTCCCCGGAGACCCCAGCCGCCCCAGGTAGACGCCGGGGGACCCAAAGCCGCGTCAGGCGCTGCATGACGGACTAATAAGTCGCGAGCCCGCGCGCTATCGTGCGCATGCGCCGCCGAGGCTTCAGGAACTTCCGGAAACCTTCGCCGAAAGAAAGGGAAAGTAATTTGGCCCACTTCGCGTGCCGTTGCGGCGGAGCGTCGCGCGGAGGATTGTGGGTGTGGGTCCCATGTGAGAATCGGAGAGTGCCTGGAAGGGGTAAGTAGAGTTTTTCGTTCCAGAGGGAAGGATGTAGTGGCGCCGAACCAGTCTTTGGGAGGGTGCCCTTCGATGTTGTGAAGGGTGCGCCTCTTCTTACTTTCCAGCCTCACTCTTCGGATGTCCTTATTCGTCCAATCGGTCCTGTTGGGGACTTCAACCCAGTATCTGGGAGTGGAGAAGAAAACCCAGGTTCTGGGGCCATCGCGGTGTTCCCAGTCTTAGAGGGTGAGAAAGGGAGGGTGGGCGTCTCAGATGAGATCAGGTGCCCTCGCGTCTCCGAATGTCTTGACGTTTATCGACTGGTTTAGTTCTAAACGCTTAGGTGCACTACCTCTAAAAGTTGGATCAGATGGTACCGACCTCGTTAGTCGAAAGACTAAATGCTTAAGTACTTAATCGAAATTTTGAATTTTTCTTGGTATGTAAAAAGTTCTCAAATTTAAGGGGAGAAGTCTAGCTTTATAGTCAAGATTTTAAATAAAACACTGCTTCCCTCCAGTCATTTCCTTTTTGTGCTCAGTAATCAATGACTTTTTGAAACTCATTGCAAAACCAAATCTAGAGATGCTAAACCACTACTTACTACGAAAGGAACAATACCCTGCCCTTTTATATTCTGTGTTTTTGGCGGGAAATCAGCCCCTTTCGGCCTTGGTTACTCCTAAAATAAGTTACAGAAAGAAGTAATTATTGACTTAAGAGTGAAAATATCTGTTTCCTGTAGGGTGTTTGGATTTAAAGAGGGAACTTTGTGAGCTAAATCTGAATTGATTTTGTTCTGTGAAGAGACTGGCCTTGTAGAACTAAAGGCCACTGGAAGTAGCATGTGGTAAAAATGAACAGAAAGTGGTACTAGAATGTGAAGAAAAGAATGAGACCAATGGAGGCATGAGAATCTTTTAGTTACATTAACTTTTAACTTGTGACACAGGTAAACATATAGATGTATAGAAATTGTAAGTGCCTAGTAAGCATTTCCCTCCACCATGAAGTCCTAGAGTTCTACCTGGTTATGTGTTAAATTTGTTTTTCCAAATATTCTGCAATTGAAAGAGAATATTCTTACAGTTAGTGTGTGTGTGTGACTTAGAATAAGTTTGGAAATGTAATTAAAAGTGTTATCTTTATATTTAACTGAAAATCTATTAGAAATATCTTTTCTTTCATCTTATTTAACTGTGTTACTAACCTTGCATTATTCTGACATTTGTGTTATTTTTTAGTATTTGGTTTCTTCGAGAATTTTTCCAGAGACACACTTAAAAAATGACATCCCAACAAGAAATAATGAGTGACCAGCGGTTTCGGCGGGTTGCAAAGGACCCAAGATTTTGGGAAATGCCAGAAAAAGATCGAAAAGTTAAAATTGACAAGAGATTTCGAGCAATGTTTCATGACAAAAAGTTTAAGTTGAATTATGCGGTGGATAAAAGAGGACGCCCCATCAACCACAGCACTACAGAAGACTTGAAACGTTTTTATGATCTTTCAGATTCTGATTCAGATCTATCTGATGAAGATAACAAAGAATTAAACCAAAAGGAGATGAAGAAGAAAAAATCCCAGACTAAAAGTAAAATAGAATCCAAAAATCCAGCTGTGGAGAAGAAGAAACAAGCTAAGAAAGTTAATCAAAAGGATTCTAGAAACAAAGATGATTTAGATAACTCTGGCAAAATGAAAACTGTATACAAAACTAAGAAGATAGATTCCAAAATAAGTCCCAAGAAAGATAGCCAAGAATTTACACAAAAAAGGGCAAAAGGGGAAAAAAACATTTTTCAACTTCGCACAGACTTGAGTCCCAAAGGAAAAGTAAGAACAGCAGACTTGGGCATCTCTGAAATTGTGAAATTTCCCAAGGCAAAGTATTCTGAGACAAGAGGAAAAATGCAATCAGGTTGGTTGAAATGAATCTTAATTTTAGGGTTCTTTTGTATTACATTGCTTTTATATTCATATGTTAAAAAAGTAAACCAATGTCATAAGAATATTCATAGTATAAGGGGATGGTTCTAAGGCTTATTTTGAAGTGTAAAATTAAGGGGGGGAATTACCATATAATATTGTTACTAGTTTTTTATTTGGTGCCATACCAGCTGGAAGAAAGTTAAATAAAAACTTGTCCTGAGGCCACACAATAATTTTGATTTATGATAGTTACTAGTATTCTGTATTCGGTAACAGAGAATTTCAGAAACCAGAGAAAGTGTTCTTCTCATCACATACGTGGTATCTAAGGAAATAAACAGAGATGGGTACTTACTCATTCAACTACTTTTAACTGGTTCATGGCAGATAAAGCCTGAATAAGACATGGTTCTCCATCTCGGGCATAATGGTAGCTTATCTAATGCCTGTGTAAATTAGAAAAAGGTATGCCCTTCTGAACACATAGAACTTCCAGTTTACTGAGGGACAGTACCTTTGAATATGACAATGGTTTCTTTTCCCCTGAGCAGTCATGGCCCACCTGCAGGATGCATAGCTTGGTAAGTGGAATTTGGATTTGATTTTAATCCTTCTTGCTCCTTTGCAGATCCTCTTCTGCAAATAACCTGCTAGCCTCTAAGCAGTAACGCTAGTCTAAAGTAACACTGTCCCATTCCATTTGTAGTGGAACCTGGCAGGAAACTGAGGTATAGAGAAAAGGGCTATGAGTCTGGTTCCTGAAACTGGAGAATAAAATCAGAATAGAAACAATAGCAAGGTTGGTTTGATGCTTAGTTTGCAAGTCTTGAATCTTTTAAACATCACTAGATTTAGGACTGTGGCATAATGTAGCATCCATATAATCCTTGTACTGATTTTACAAAATCTTCTTACGTACCTTTTTTTCATTTTTGTAAATCACCTCAAGAAATTAGGATTTATTAGTCAGGAAACAAGGATAAAGTGACTTACCTAAGGATACAAATAGATGAACCTGCAGTTCAAGTATTTGAATCTTTTTACCCCACCAGCTTGCTTTACGTTCATTGCAAGTCTACAGAAGATATTTGCCAGTAGGGACTAAGTGACTCCATATATAACCATCTTTTGTTCATTATTTATCTATCAATTATCATTTTAGCAACTATTATATGTAAGGGGCTTTTTAAATGCTATAAGGTAAAGATGATGTGAGAAGTTGCAGTTCAGTATTTGTCATTTTAAAATGTTAATGTCTAAACTTGAATTTTTAAGAACTTATTTTAAGGAAATAATTGTAGATATGCAAACCTGTACTCCTAAAACATTCAGTTTTGTAAACCAAAGGTACCGCAGTAAACATAATAATTAGAAAAAAAGGTAATATGATGTGTAAAAAATGTGCATTGTAGCGTTTTTAAATTTTAAAAAGTGGTCACAAATCATTTGAAGCTAGACTAAGATAAAAGGTTAAACATGTCGGTGATACATGAAGTTTTAAAAATAGATTACAAAATAGTATAAATGGCATGATCAACTACTTGAAAGAAATTGGTGGGTATATCATGAAAAACAAATTTAGGGTGTTATGTGCCAAATAACCATTTAATTGTCTCTAAATGAAAAATTACTAGTCATCTTTATTTTGTTAACTAAGTTTTATTTTCTAAACTGTTTGCACTGAGCATCCAGTACTTTTGTAGTTAGGGGGGAAATGTTAAAACGTTTTTTAAAAGTGCTTGGATAAGTAGTAATGTTTGCGATCTATGCCAGAGTAGTGCCTTCTAGGAATAGAGGTAATCTTACATTTTTTAACATAAGAATTTGTACATGGCAGGCTCAGAACAAATAGTTAGTGGGAGAATACTCTGAATGTATTTGCTATTGTCAAAAACACTAGAATACAAGGTCTTTTTAAATTTTCCATCTATCAGTTTATATAACTGAAATATAATATGTGTATAATTGTATGTGAGATGTTATATGTCAGATAATATTCAGATTTTTTCACATTAAGTTATGTAATTATTTCAACATCTTAGGGGAAAAATGTGACCATCGTAGCTGTGCTTTCAAGGATTTCATTTAGAACAAAACTAATTTTTTTATACAGATTTATTTATTTATACAAGCACTGGGGTATAGGCCAGAGGCGCAGGAGGGTGAGAGAATTCACCAGAGACAGAGCGGGGAGCAGAACAGGTAGAAGGACTGAAATACACTGGTGAGGGGAGCAGTGGGCGAGACAGAAAGGTCTGCCGCACCATGTGGGAATCTCATCCTGGCCTGCCGGGAATTGAACCGGTGCTGCAGAGGCTGCCAACAGCTTTACAGGGCTGCGCTCAACCTGCTGCGCCACCAGGGAAGCCCCCAAGCTAATTTTTTATTAAAAATAATTTTTAATATAATGAAAATGATTGGTCATATACAAATTTATGATAATTCCTGTAGCCTCTTAAAGGACTCAAATGCACTGCATATTCAGCATATCAACCTGAACTCATGATCTACCTCCACCAGAGAAATTGATTTTCTTCCAATGCTGCCAGTTTACTTATCTACACTTAACAGTTATCTAGCCCTGAAGGCCAAGAAACCAGCCTAATCTATATATCTAATTACTATTGGTTTTTACCTCTTAACTGATTTTAAAAGCCAGAAGTAACTCCATTCACTTCTCTGCTTCTCTCCGGCCATGAGCTTTGTGTTACCTTCATTTCTTGTCTGTAATAAAATACTGCCCTTATAAGTCTTTATTCATATTCACTCTTGATTCCTCTGGTCATTTTTACAATATAGCCAAGATGATCTTTTCAATACGCAGATGTGATTGTGACCCTCCTAAAAATGTAGTGGTGACTTATTGCTTTATGAATAAAACCAACTTTTGTGTGTGATTTTTGGATAGTGTATTCCCACGTAAATCTTCAGTTTAATTTTTTACTTGACTCCTTGCTTTCTGCAATTCAGACATGCTTGCCAGTTTTTCCTGTTAGTGGATCTTTACATCTACTATTCTTGTTGTCCAGAGTATTTCCTTCATCTGCTAGTCTAACTTTGATACCTCTTCTTCATCCTTCAAGTAGCAAATCACTTATCACTCACTGAGATCTGCTCTCTATATATATATCATTCCCTTTGGCCCTTATTCTGGTAGTAATTTCATTTTTTATGTGTATTGATTGTGTATTGATTTGATTGATTTGATATCTATCAGTCTATCCTCTTCACTCAACTGGAAATTCATTGAGAGCATTGATTGCTTCTCTTTTGCTAATGATCATATATTGAGCACATGTAAGTACTACATGAATGTATGAACCTATTCTTATGATCTGGGTATTTATTAATATTTCCATTCAATAACTTGCACTGGGTATAAATTTTGCTGAATTTATATTTTCCTTTATTTGTTTTTTAGAAATAATTTTATCAGATTTTAGGTCAAAATAGCTGTAATTCAGTATCTTGTCTACATTTTCTGAATTTCTTCCTCTTTTTATCTTTTTGCAGAAGTTCCACACAAAATGAATAGAGATAGTAATCATGAAAAATCACCAGCTGGTAAAATGTTTGACAAAGATGATCTGGAGGAAGATTTAGAAAGTGCTAGTGAAATAGGATCTGATGAAGAATCTGAATATGAAACAGGAGGCATTGGTAGAGCTCCAGCTAGTGATGATGACAGCGAAGATGATGAAGATGAAGATGAGAGTAGTGGTGATGATGATGATGATGATGATGATGAAGAAGAAGAAGAAAGTGACAGTGGCCCTGATCTAGCCAGGGGTAAAGGAAATATAGAAACTAGTTCTGAAGATGAAGAAGATATGGAAGATTACCTTCCACAGGAATCTGGTTTTGAACATGCTTGGAGAGAATTAGATAAGGATGCTCCTCGCGCTGATGAGGTGACCTTTTGAATACATGTTTGTGAAGAGCACACAGTACAAGTAACTTTTATGGATGGTAGGATTGATGTCATTAAATTGAGTAGGGAAAACCTTTTTGGTAAATAATTCATTTTTAATGATTCTACTTAAACCATCTTGAAATGGTCTATATCTGTATTAATTAGCTCTAATTAGGACATAATAGGGAGAAGTCCTACATAGTCATGAAATTTTTTAGAAAATACTTGTTTTAGTGAGCTTATAGTTTAGTTTCCACTACACTTATTGGAAATGATACAGAGTGACATACTTAACTTCCCTTCATATGCATGGATAGCAACGTTTAACAAAGTTAGTAGTTCAAAAATGGGTTCAATGCCATATTTTGATTTAAGAACTAAGAACCAAGTAAAAGAAAGTGCTAAGTGTTGAGTTGTTCTTTTTTATGACTGCTCTCCAGTTCTCTTTTGCATATTGAAAACACTTCAGAATTTGGGGGAAAGAAAGTATTATATTTTTAGTATGTTTTGCAAGCATTGGGAATGATATAAGTTTTGCAAGATTGGGAATGATATAATATTTAATATTTCTTGTTTCTTAGATTACACGTCGATTAGCAGTTTGCAACATGGACTGGGATAGATTAAAGGCAAAAGATTTGTTGGCCCTGTTCAATTCATTTAAACCTAAAGGAGGTGTTATATTTTCTGTAAAGGTGAGAATTGATTTCATTTTTAGTAAATAAAAGCATTTTAAGTTAATTTTCATTTTTAAGTTATAATTTTGCTTTTAAGGAAAAAAATCTGGAAATTATCTAATACAGTTAGACATGAAGCTATTAGACACAAAAGTTAGGAAGAGGTAAAATTGTTATTCATGGACTATATGATGTGTATTCTTTAAAAAATCCAGATAAATCTTTTAGAATGCTATTATATCAATAAAAGAACAGGATATAAGATAAGTATTTAAAAAAAAAATTATTCTTTATTGTCAGCATTAACCAATTAAGAAAATAACCATTTTTAGTAGGAGCAGAAAACCATAAAATCCATGGTAATTACCTTAAACACGTATGACCTATATTAAGAAAACTAACACTTGATAAACTTGGAAAACTTAAATAAATTTTGGGATACCATATAAGTCTTTGTATAGAGAACTTATTTCAGTGCCTCACCTCATAATAGCTTAAAAACTTCAGATGAAGTAAAGGAAAAATACTGAAAATCAAACTACATTAGCAGAATAAAATAGAAAATCAGAAATCCTGGTGAGGGTAAATTTTTCTTGCATGAAGACTGTATAAACTATATGGTAAAATTGTCTAGTTAAAGAATTTTTTTCAGTAAGTATTGAATAGATGTGACAGGTATAACAAAATTGTTTTTCTTCATTAGTTATATTTTATATATTTAATCATTTTATGTAATTCATGTAAACTATTTAATCCAGCCATTTTTCATTTATGTTTCTAATGAGTTCCTTGAGCTTGGAATCTCATTTTGCTTTTCTTAATTTTTTTCTTGTATCCAGAATCATTTTGTCCTACTTGGTACATGGAAGAGATACTCTTTTTTTTTTTTTTTCCTAAGCCCTTCATCTGTTACTCAACAGCAAAAATGCCTATTTTTTAAGGTTATTCCTTAGGATTCTTTAGTTTTCTATAGTGGGTTTGAAAGTGAGTAATCTTTACCATTTTCATCAAGTCCAGTTGTAACACTTATAGTTCAGAATTGGATATTTAAGAAAAAGAAAATTGATCTAAAACTGATCTTTTTTCTGTGTGTTTAGATATACCCATCAGAGTTTGGAAAGGAGAGGATGAAGGAAGAGCAAGTTCAAGGACCAGTAGAGTTATTAAGTATCCCTGAAGATGCCCATGAAAAGGATTGGTAATAAGTTACTATGGAAAATAAAACTAAATCACTAATTTAGAATTCTAGTCATTTTAATAGTTAGGACTATAAGTTTATATACTTGGTTAAAACAGGTTGCAAAGCAGAGTAAAGTCTTATTAAGGTGGCACACCATTTTGTATGCATATTTACATTTCTATATTCACAAAAAAAGCTATTGTACTTTTAAAAAACATTTGATAATTGAACTTATTTCCAGTTTTCTCATTCTCATTGCTCTGAATTTGTAAATGTTACCGTTTTCCTGATATAGGTGTATTTATCCTCAAATTGTTTAACTTATTTGAAGATTAAATACAAAAATGAAAGATGATAAAATTATTTACCATGTAGTATAGAAAAAAATGAAGGTAGTTTCAAACCACAAGGTGGAGCTGTCTGCTCACTTAGTAAAAATGGCGGTTAAATAGATTGGTGGCAGCAGAGAGCAGATGAAGAACCTGTTAGTATTGTAGTTAAGTGAAATTAAATTTATAACCATTTGGACTTGATAACATGTATGTGGAATAAACATTGTACAACATCAGAAATCTTTGTAATTACAGCTAATACTTTATTAGCATTTTTAAAATACAGTGCTGTAGTGAGAAGGCTATATGTAGAAATATAATTATTCTAAAATTTAAAATCAGAGGTAAACAAATGTAATTCTTACATTCTCCTTTTCTAGGTATCATATTCCAATCAAAATACCTAAATTCTGTTCCTTGTCAAATTAATACATTGAACTTACTAAGTATTTACTGTTCATACAGCTAAAGTTATGAAGGAAAGCTGGATTAGAATGAGGGTCAGCTTGTGTATATTTTTCATGAAATAATTAAATTTGTTTTTAAAAGGGAGATAAGTATTTGTGCTCCTGTATTACTAAGCTTAACGAGTTTTTCCCCTTTTAGGACTTCTAGAGAAAAATTGAGAGATTATCAATTCAAACGATTGAAGTACTATTATGCAGTAGTAGACTGTGATTCTCCTGCTACAGCCAGTAAAATTTATGAGGATTGTGATGGCCTGGAATTTGAAAGTAGTTGTTCATTCATAGATCTAAGGTAATCCGCTATCTATCTTACCAATTTAATCATGCAACACAACATGTTTATAAGAGGTAAAATATTAGAGCTGGTGATGGTCTCTGTTGTTTCATATTCTAAATAAGAATTTTTTTCCTTTTGGATAAAAATCTATCCTATGAAACGTCACTCTTAAACTGGAATGAGAAAATGCTAAAACATTAATGTATGAGTCAATTCCACATTCATGTCTTTTCAAACATGTTGACTATGTTTTTAGGTTGATGGGTTATATATGAAATATTTCTTTGCTGCTCTTAGAACTAAACCTGGTGAAGTAAGTTTTTAAGCGGTATTGAGGTGGGGGCAAAAGGATTTGCTAATAAACTGGTACGCCTAAATCTGTGCTGATAGTCGTTACATCTGGCTGTTTAAATTTACTTAAAATTTTTAAAAATTTAAAGTTTGTTTGCTTGGTAATTCTAGACACATTTTAAGTATTTATTTGCCACATATAGGACAGAACAGATACAGAACTTTGCTGTTCCCACAGAAAGTTCTGTAGGACAGTACTGTTCAAAATGCTGCTCATTGAATGATTGGTTCTACTGGCATTGTCTTCAGACTTGGGCATTATTTTTAACCATGTTGTAAAGTCAGGAGTGGACATAGTGCAGGTTTTCTAATCCAGCAGACCGGGTAAAGGAGGAGTCAGAGTCCTGGAGACCTCGGTGGCTTTTGCAGGTTTTTTATTGGGATTTACCCAGTACACAGCAGGCAAGGGTGCTGGGGGGCCGGGAGGCTGGCAGGCCTCCCAGCCCCCAGCAAGTCTTCACTCTATCTGGGCTCTCCAGCGTTCTCTGCTTCTTTCTTGGCTTCTCTTTTGGCTTTTACTGGCGTCCCCGTGACGCCACCCTTAAAAAAGCACAGTCTTAGCCCAGGTGAATCCCATCTACCTATGCCCACATCCTACTCCAGGTGCCCGCCATCAGGCATGCATTCAGGATCGCAAGGATCCATCATCTATCCTGATGGCGGGAGGGCAGAAAAGCGTGACATTTTTCCTTACCCTACACATGTGTTCAGGCTTCTCTAACGCAGCTAAAAAAACCTTATGTGTTTATAAATGTCAGTCCTAAAGAAATAGGAAATTGAACTACTATACTATTTTATGATTAACCTAGTCCTTTGAACCTAGTAAACTGTTCAACAGTGACATTTAAAATAGAAATCACTTCTTGAGATCCAGGTTTGTTAGAGGCTTTATCTTATCAGATAAGCTATTCCTTTCCTGTTCTGTAAAAATTTCAATAGGAGGTACTCATTTAAATGTTTAAATAATAGTTACCAAACTGTTAAAATGTCAGACTCTGAGTATCATGAATTTACATCACATGTTCCTTTCCTGAATTGTTTTGCTCTTTCTGTTTCCCTTTTGGGATATTTCCATGTGGAGTTAGTATAAGTTCTGGCAGTGCCTAGAAAATAAGATCAATGACCTTAGAAAAAAATGTACATTCTCAGTTTTATTTTCTTATATACAGCATCAGAAAAGAAAATTGAGTTTTCTGCTGTGTAGGGTAAGGTAAAAAGTATCAGGCTTTTCTGCCCTCACGCCATTAGGATAGATGAGGGAACCCTGTGGTCCTGAATGCATGCCTGATGGCGGGCACCTGAAATGGGTACACCTGGACTGAAAGACTGAGTTTAAAAGGGCGGCATCACAGGGACGCCAGCAGAAGCCAAGAACCAACAGAAGCCGAAAGAAGAAGAAGAGAAGCAGAGAGAACGCCAGAGAGCCCAGATAGAGTGAGGATTTGCTGGGGGCTGGGAGGACTGCCAGCCTCCTGGCCCCCCAGCACCCCTGCCTTCCATATGCCTGGTAAATCTAAATAAAAGACCTGCAAAAGCCACTGAGGACTCTGACTCCTCCTTTACCCAGTCTGCTGGATCAGAAACCCTGCACTGTGTCTAGTCCTGCCCGTTACAGCTGACATCCAATTATCTAGGGGTACCCACTTCTGCCCCAAATATGAAAGTATGCATATTAATAACTTAAAAATAATGACTTCAGGTATTTTTTTCTAAGTCCATACAAAAGTGCAACTAGAGGAGACCTAATGAACCTTATTTATTCATCCATCCCCAGAAATATCCTTGTTGATGGCTGTGTGGCATATGCTTTTTGTATGGATAGAAACGAAATTACTAAACCTAAATATGATAATCATAGAGTGTTTTACTCTTTGCTTGTTATCCCACCATTCCTGATGCCTCAGAGTTGTTAAACAATTTGCAATAGTTAATTTATATTTAATAGCTATTTGTGGGGGGAAATGTAAGATAAGATTTTTAGTCTTTAGGAATAAACTGTAAACTTTTTCTTACTTTCAGTGACATCTGATGTGTATGATACTTTAATTTCAGAATATTTAACCATTAGTATTTATATATGATCTTCAAAATATACAGCAAGCCAGTACTACAGGTCATTTTAAAAGTATAAGGGACCTATGTGTGTTTGCACCTGACTCATATTAACTGACTCCTAATACAGGGTTTCTACATATACAGAGTACACTCAAAAATAGTGGAATTACAGATCTGTAGCTTTGAATTTCACAAATTTTGTGCCGAGATTATTTCTAACGTTGTTTGCCTCATCTACATGTGTGTTCTGTAGAAACTATTATATGGTATGTATGTATAAACTATGACTAATTAAAAGGGAATCTAAACTCTGGTTGTTTATCGCTGCAGCATATGTTTAAATAAATTATTTTTTCTTTGTTTCCTAGGTTTATACCGGATGATATTACTTTTGATGATGAGCCCAAGGACATAGCCTCAGAAGTGGATTTAACAGCATATAAACCAAAATATTTCACATCTGCTGCAATGGGAACGTCAACGGTATTTCTTAGCTTTTAGAAATGTCTAGCTGGACTCTATTATTTTAAGAAAAGACTTTGTATGTTATTTGCTTATAGCATCTCTGGAAATGGAGAGTATCCAAAATTTTATTTCATGAGTACAAAAAGAAATGAGCCACAGTACATTTGCATTTTTATCTACCACATCTGTTGGAACCTTTTTTCAGATCTTTGTTATGCCTTTAAGCCCTAGTCAATTACCTGCAATTGTTTCTGTTTTTTCTTCTATCTTTCCCATACACTCTTATTCAACTAGATTCTTTAATAAGTAATGTGTTGGTTATTAATGTCCTAGGGAGTAGGGGGACGTAGGTAACAGATCCCCAAATCACAGTTAAATCAGAAAATTTAAAAATAAAAACATTTTTTCTGTAGATATGATCCAAAATTGTAAAAATATTTGAAGTGGAATAATTCAGGACTACTAGTTGTTATGCTAACGCATCGTCACCAGCAACCAAAAGATTTCTATTGAATTGGCTTATTATTTAGCCATATACCTTTTCTCTTCCCTACTCCCTACCCACACCCCATAAACCTGTCTACACCTGGATCCTGTGGAAGCTTTCCACTGCCTTTCGTGCCAAATCATTATGCTCTTCTAAGGATGGGCTAGTGGCAGGGAGGGAGCTACTGTGTCTTTCACCAGTGTGCTGTGGTGGGGACTATTTAACCTTGATTAGTTACTGATTCTAGTGGAAGCCCCCAATTATGCAATAAGTGAAGTCTAAAATTATCAGCCACATAAAACATAGGGTCATGTCATTTTCAAGACTACAAATAACCATAGTAAGCCTGTCCAGCCAGCCAGTCTAGATTTCCTAGAGTTTGGCTGTGTCATCTACATCTCTTCCGTTCTACCAACAGTTTTGTGGTGATAACTGAGACTTAATTACCAGGGAAGGGATAATTCTAAATCCTGTCACTGGCTAAAACTTTAACACAATGACAGATATTCTAAGAATCCCCTGGTTAATTTTTGCCTACTATATTGTTTTGCTCTGAGGAGATTAGCCTGAGAAAAATAGTTGTGATGAAGATAAAACCTCTAATAGCATCCTATCTGAGAATAAGGTTGCTTACAGGACAGGAGCCAATCACCAGATCATTCATGTTATGGATTAATTCCTGTATTATGGTGGTCTGCTGTACTTCCAAACAATAGAAGCCTTTCTCATCAGTAGCTCTTAATCTTTTTTTTTTTTTTTTTTTTTGGATAATAGACCCCATTTAGATTGTTTTAAAAGTTTTATTAAGAGATTTCACATAGTTTATAGATTCTTGAAACACCTAGAACTGAGTGAAAAACATATTTTCTCTGTTACATAGTAATTTTTTCAGTGTTATGCTTTCTTTTGTCTGCTCACTCACACACTGATGAATTTTTACTCCCAATAATGAAGTGCCTTGCATAATGGCAGAGAGTTAGGAGGAGGAAGGTAGATTCTCTTTCCACAAATAGAATGCTTCTTATTAAATATGTAATTTATTTGTCTTGGCATAGCCTTGCTTTTTAGCTTTCTGTTAGACTTCCAAGTTAATGATAAATATTCTTTAACAAATTTGTGTTTCTAATTTTATTTTTTTAATGCATTGGTGAAAGGTGGAGATCACTTGGGATGAAACTGATCATGAAAGAATTACAACACTCAACAGGAAATTTAAAAAGGAAGAGCTTTTGGATATGGATTTTCAAGCCTACTTAGCTTCCTCTAGTGAAGATGACGAGGAACTAGAAGAGGAACTACAAAGTACTTGCTAATCTTTTAATGTTCTACATCTGTAGGCATTTGGATGACTAAATTAGAACTATTAACTTTGATAGTAGCTTGAAAGGTAGCACCAAATGAATTCTAAAACTTATACAAAGAATACTCACATGTATAGTATTATATACACCTATAGATAGTAATCGAGAATTTTTATTTAAAAATATTTTCTTAACCTGAATATCTTTAACCATAAGCATTTTCTTTAAAACCCTAAATTCACAAAGTCTAGCTTTTTAGACTTGTCTTGATTCATTTAGTTATGCAGTCTTTTAACAAACTAGTAAAATGATTTATTATTTCCCTTTTTTTAACTTGACTCTCCCTTTGGATGGATTGAATATTTCCTACATTTTTCTTGTTGACTAGGAAGCTCATGCTGTTGAATCTGCTGATAGACCTATCCATTGAGTTAATTCTGGTTATTGTATTTTCACCTTTAAAAATCTAGTGTGGCTGTTTTTCAAGTCAGTAATATTACTTACAGTTTTGTATTCATCGCACATATTTTCAGCACTTTTATTTCTGTGAATAGTCAATGATACTTTCAGTTTTTCAAATCTTTTTGACTTGCTTTCTATTACTTTACAAGATATTTCTCTTCTGTTTACATGTGTGCTTGGTTAAATTTGTGTACTAATTTGATATTTGAGATGAGAGTATCTCATCAGAGAGACTTTATCTACTTAGGTGATTCCGAGAATGTATTACTCCAAGTTTTAAGGCTTGAAGGTACCTGGACTTTGTGGGTGATGCAGGTTTGGGTGAGGACTAGTTTATTTCTGATTGACTCTTGAGACTATCTCTGTGTCTGTGCTTAACTTTGTGTTTACTAGTTGAGACCCCCTCCTCTCTGGTTCTTTAACTTTCGCCTTTGTTCTACCAAGCTGCCAGAACTGTAATTCAGTTTCATAGCTATTTCTTCTGCAAATCAGTCAGTGTACTCAGGGCAAGGTAAGTCTTGGACACTGGAATCATCTTTCTGGTGCTGCCTTCTCCTTGATTTTGACTTGGTAATTCACTGATCTGTTAGTTCCTTGAAGTTTTCTTTACTTTTTTCTTCTTTTTAAACATGGAAACTTTGAAGGTGGTTTTTTAAAGTCTTTCATACAATCTGATGTCCTCAGTGAAAAAGGTAGCTCTACAGTACCTACCTTGTCATTAGTGGAAGAAACTCTGAGGCAATCTATCTCATTTAAAATTTTTTTTGATGATTGAATAATCAGTGGTGTATTTTTTAATTCTATATGCTGTTTGCTTAATATAATTCATTTATATAAAACAGAGCTAAAAACCCCATTCCTTTATACTGGATCTGACTCTATTTGGGAGTTTGGTTGCTTAATTGTAATTTGTTACCGTTTTTAGTTATTATCATCTCTCTGATGTCTTCATCCTTTTAAACTAATAGATAGCAAATAAAGAACCATAAATGTTTAACATAAATATTAGTATTTAGCAGGAATGAATATTCTTTTATTTGTAGTGTAACATTTTTCACAATTGTACTTTTGGTTTTCCTTTTGTCTAATGTATCATTTTTATAACCTAAATGTTAAAGTAATAAGTCCTAAAATGCTGTTTTAGTATTACCTTAGCACCATTAAACTAACTTTCTTAAATCATATCACCATTTCTTTTAGACTACTGAAGATATTGCTTCATTTTTCTAAGTTTGTCATAAAATTCTACTCTTGAACTGTGTTCCACATATGGAATTAAAAATCTTGTTTTAGTGTTTATAGTTTCTTTCTTCAGACATCTCATATTAATAAAACCACACAATTTCTTAGGTATTTAATAGTCTTCAAAAAAAGTGGTTAAGCACATTTTTTTTAAGTCTTCAGTAGCTGTTGCTTTCTAATTTTTTTGGCATTCCAAGTATTTGAGTGACCATGTTATTTCTGGTGTGCCCGGAACAGCTGAATCATTTTTCAAATAGCCCTTAAGTCTTTATCACTCATATATACACTAATTTATCTAATTTTATTTATATGCCTATATGGCCACTTAACACTTTCTGTGAAAATTCTGCATAGTTTTTCTTATCAGCTGTAAGGGAAAAGAAAAAAATATTCTACATATACTTGTACAGATTGAATACAGATTATTCAGATTGGTTTCTTTCAATGACATATTGACAGTTGGGCAGCTAGTCTTAGTAAAAAATAACCATTAATTTGTCATTATATTCTTGTAAAGCTCTTGTTTTCCTGGTTTCAAAATCCTTACTTCACTGCTGCATAGTGAAGTTAAGGTGCTTAAGCCCCCATGCCTTTTTACTATAGTTGTGAAATGAGTATCATAATAGTACCTAATTTGTGGTTGGAATCATTGAGATAGTGTATATAAAGTTCTTAGCATACTACCTCATATCATATATTTTCACTGAAACATTAATGATTTTTTGTATGAAATATATTGTTTTTAAAAACACCTATTTTTCTTCAGTATTTCAATTGATTATAAGCTTGCCTTAATATTTAAGTTAGTGTTCTGGTAGATATATTAGAATATTTGAATGCCTTGTTATTAAGATGTTCCTGGTATGTATAAGAGATCATAGCAGGGCTTCTTTTACAATTATTTTACTTATAGAGCATTAAAGTTTTCACAAAGTTTTGTCTTTGAATTGGGAAAAAGCAGACCTACATGAGTTATGCCACATTTTAGAGCTTCAGAAAGTAAAATTTTAGTACTGGAAAAAATCAATTTAAAGTAGGCCATCAGAGACTTACCACTAAAATTTCAACCTGGAAGGAGCTTGCTTCTAATTATGTTTTCAGAAGTAAGCTTTTAATAGAAAGAACTACATTGCCATTTTGTTAATGTGTTCCTGATGTTTTATCCATTGAATTACGGGATACACGACAGAATTCCATCCAACATTATTATTGTGGCACAAAGCACAAACAGGAAAAAAATGAATTTCAGCTGTTTGAGTGAAAATGTAAAAGTGTGATAGGATGGAAAGAATGTCCTGGACTATTTTTTATTCATTTAGAGAAAGAAACTATAAAAACATTTATTTAACCAATTTTTTTTTCCATATCACCTTTCTTAAGATGTAAGGACAATCTGTTAACATTGATGTTTCACAGCTAAATGTTTAATGTAAGATATTTTTAGTGACCAGTTTACCCATAACTCATAGAGGAGAGGGTCTTCATTATACTGCTTCTGAGTTTTCCTTTACTGGGGAATTTAGTCAGTTTAATAAGTCTGTATGTTTTGCATTAAACCCAGGCTCTTAATTTATGGTTTTGACTTGGAGAATTATAGTGGAAATATAGAGCAAACAAACTTTTCACATATTAGTTTTCTTTGGTGTTTGATGCCCATGAATTTTATACTGTTCTTTTGTTTTCTGAGTGTTTTTCAAAAATTAGGAAATGAAAATGTGAATACTTTTCCATACAACTTAACTGAATTAATTTCTAATTCATTTTTATTCTCATTATATTAATGAAATTGTTAGAGTAAGTATGGTTGCTCACCATCAAATGGAAAGGACTCATTATTCTTCGTTTTAGATTACAAGCAGTTTCCTTTGTCTCATCAATATGTACAGAATACATCCCAGCCACATTTAGCCATACATTTTAAAACCATTCCACTCGATGCTGAAGGATAGAAAGAGAGATAAAATGCCATTCCTGCATTCTTGCTAATAGAGAAAAGAAGTCTGAGAATGTTATATGGCTACAAAATTATTTTGGAATATGATTCTCAAGAAGAATATGCTAATTTATATTGCTTATTTTTATTATAAACAAAAACTTTAATACATTTAATATTAAGATGTTAAAGTCAGATTTTTATATTCTGTTGTTGAAATATGTCTGACAGCATTTTTTGAAAGGGTATTGGAGTTACTTTGAGATTTAAAGTTAGAGTTAGAAGTAAATTATTTCTGTATATTAAATGAATTTTTTTTGTTGTTGTTAGGTGATGATGGAGACAATGTGGAAGATGGGAAAACAAAGAAGAGTCAGAAGGATGATGAAGAACAAATTGCTAAGTATAGGCAGCTCTTGCAAGTTATACAAGAAAAAGAAAAAGGCAAAGAAAATGATATGGAAATGGAAATTAAGTGGGTTCCAGGTAAGAATTCCATACTCACTAACTGCTCACTTTCATTTTAGGTTGTTGATTCCAGTTTAGATATGAATGAATAGATTAGCTCTTCTTTGGAAACATAATCTTAAAAAAATCTTAACTTTCCATGAGTATTTTGATGAAGAAAATAATGTAGTATTTGCATACATCATTTCATTTACTTAGGACTATGGTTTTAAACTCTTGCCAGTTTATTCTTGGTTTCTTTGATTTATTTACTACAAATAGTCTCAATATAGAAACTTGAATCCAGGTACCATGTGTTCTAAAGTTACTAAACTTCTTCTCAAAATGCATAATTTACAAGTGGACTTTCTCCTATAGCTCCTACTAGACCTTAGTGAATTTTCACTAACATGAGGTTAATTACACAGTTTTCATCACAGCTTTGCTATGAATAGTCAAAGAAGTATAGTGCAGTGATTTTTTTAATGGCCTGAAGGTTTCAATTTTTTTTAGAGTAGACAACACTATTATACTAAATTAAAGCCATGTCAGAGCTAAACAAAAATAAAAGCTAGGATAAACCAAGATTATTTTCAAACATAACTTTTTTCAACATCCTGGACAAAAGAAAGTATCCCTGCAACCAATACTGTTTTTGCAAATTATTGCTGTTTACATTTAGGATATCTTTTAAAGGTATACTTTTTGATAAGGAACTAGCTCTTTATTCTCAACTCATCTCTAGATGAAAGAATCTTGCTTGTAGGAATATATTGCTTAAAAATTAAGTATTCTGTATTCAGATACTTGCTTCTAATAGCTAGTATGTTTTTGTACTGGTATTAAAACAGTTATTTACTTAAGATTATTTAAATTTTGGCAAAGAAATCTACCATATTTTTATATTTCAGGGTTCATTGATTTGTGAATATTAGGATGGATACATCTACATATTGTTATAAAAATATGGTACTCTCTTGTAACTCATTTATTTTTAAATATCTGGAAGTAGTGGTAAGAAAAATGAAATTTAAGAGAACTAAATTAATTTAGCTTGGAGAGGAAAAGCCTAAAAAGTGACTTAATTGTTATTTTTAAGTACTTGCAAGATAAATATGTAAGTGAAGACTTGATCTCTTACGTCAGAAGTCACTGCAATTGCCAGTGGATAAACTCTAGAGAAAGATGGATTTCAGTGTGTTATAAAGAAAAATTATGTTACTAGAATTGTCCAGCAAAAGAGCACAAAGGCTGTTTTAAGGGATTGTACACCCGTTGTTAGTAAACCTCACAAGACAGTATAACCATAACTCAGGGGTGTTTATGAGGAAAAACAAATATTTTAAGGTCAGTTTCTGACTTGTCTTCTTGGATATACAGTGCCAGCACAATTTATTTGGGATCAGATAATTGCTCAGAAGGCTACATTGAATACATTATCATCCCTCAACGTCTGTCATGCATAACTAGTTATCCTGATCCAGTTTGTCAAAAACCATCACAAGGGAGTGCATCGCACTGAAAAAAATAACTTGTATGTCATTGCTTAAAACTTCAAAACCAAGCCATAAAGTGATGAGAAAAAGATTTTTTTAAGCAAAATCCTCCCTCTTTTCTCTGACCTACTTTAAATTATAGAAAACATTTTAATAAAATAAATTATTTAGAGAATGTCAGTCATTCTTTTTTCTTAGCTTTATGTGTGATGATTTCAAATGTCCCTCTTACCCTCTCCTGGCATTGAGTATTATATCAGTTTTTAATGTCTTTTGAATGTTATGAATTATAGGTTAAAAAATATAAATACTATTTTAATGACTAGTACTGTAATTTTATTGAATTTTTTTCTTCCTGCATTTGCTATCATCTTCTCTGCATACCCAGTGTGATCTGTTTTAAATACACGTCTAAATGTGTTACTGCCTTGTTAACACCCTTCAGTGAATTTGTGAAGTAATTTTTTACCTGAGGTTCTTGACTTTATGATTCCAAGAAAGGTTGAGTTTTGTCTGTTAAGTCAAATATGTTATGATTATAGCTTAATTCTAATCTTAGAATGAGCTTATTTAGAAGATACTTTAAATGAGCATTTTAAAATTGAGATACTCGGTTGACTGAAAAAAAGAAGATTTAAAATAAACTTGACTGAGAAGTTTTTATAACCAGATATTTCAAAATTATATTGAGTAGATCAAATCCAACTTTGTCTTAATACAATTATAGAGGGCAAATAAAAATGGTATTTATATTTGTGTCTATAACTAGAAGATTTAAGCAGTATATTTTTCCTATATTTTCCTCACTTGATCATGGTATATTATACTTTTTATATATTCCTGGACTTTATTTAGTAATGTGCTTAAGATTTTTGCACTTGGTATTAAATGCAAATCAGGAATGGTTCTCTGTAGTTTTCATTTCTTGCACTCTCCTTAGTTTTTAGTATCAGGGTAATGCTAGCCTGATGAAGTGAATTGGGAACTTTTCTTTTTAACATTACTTTTTGTCTTGTCTTTTTAATTTGTTGATGTAATATTAGTGCAATACAAAGTACTTTTGGGATGTAAAATCAAAAATTATTATCTATAGTTCTACTACCATAATTCAGCCACTGGGTGATTAGATAGATTGTGGTCAAATTTATTTGTTTATTGTTGAGTATTTAATTATATTTCAGACCTTCCACTGTAGTATACAATTGACATTGAAAAGAAATCTGACCTTAGGCTATTACTGATCCCAAACCCAAAAGTATCAGTACTTTCTTAGATCTGTTTATTCACTTTCATCACCAGCTAAGTAATTGACTTGTTATTTTAGTTAAAAAAAAAAAATTATTTTTCTTTATGCATAAAAGAACTGGGGTGTAGGCCAGAGGTGTGGGGTTGAAAGGATTCACCAGAGACACAGTGGGGAGCAAAAGAGGTGGTTCTACTGAAATACACTGCTGAGGGGAGCAATGGGTGAGACAGAGGTCTGCTGTGCCATGTGGGTTAGCTCCCTGGCCAGTGATCTAACTCATGCTGTAGTAGTTGGCGATAGCTTGATAGCGCTGAGACCTTAACCCCTGTGCCACCAGGGAGGCCCTGGCTTGTTACTTAGAGACTTTGGCTTTTAAGAGCAATTTTTTAATAAAGATGTTTTTCGGAACCTCCCTGGTGGCACAGCGGGTTGAGTGCAGGGCTGTGAAACTGTCCATAGCCTCTGCATCTTTGTTAAAAAATGGCACAGCGGGTTGAGTGCAGGGCTGTGAAGCTGTCCACAGCCTCTGCAGCCTGGGTTCAATTCCCTGCCGGCCAGGGAAATACCCACATGGCGTGGCAGACCTCTCCTGTCTCAGCCACTGCTCGCCCCAGCAGTGCTTTCAGTCCGTCTGTCTGTTCTGCTGCCCACTCTGTCTGGTGAATCCTCTTACCATCCTGTGCCTCTGGTCTATACCCCAGCTCTTATATAAATAAAATAAATCTTAAAAAAAAAGATTTTTTTTTTCCCCACCCCCAATTTTAGAATTGTTTCTGTTGTTTCTGTGCATGTAAGGACTGGTAGAGTGCAGTCAGACCACAAGTGGAAGCTTATGCTGGAAGTCAGCCTCAGTCACTAGTTAAGTTACGTGACTTCCTCACTCATGCAGTAACTTACATGTGTTGTGGATCAACCTGTGGTTCTCTCATAAGCTGTTAAAATTACCAGTGTCAAAACCTCAAATGTTAAATCTCAGAGACCTAGCATCTATGATGTTAGAAATAATCTATAGATTTTTCCATATTTTGAATTATTTTTATAGGATAGCTTCCCAGAAACACAATTACTAGGAAGGGAAAGAATACTTTCTGGGTCTTGAAATTACTGCCAAATTGCTTCCCAAAGGATTATACCAGCTTATAATGCTTCAACAATGAGTAAAAGTGCCAGTTTCATGGAATTATCAACATTGTATATACATATATTCTTTATAGTTAATTGAATGAAGGAAAATTGATCCCCTGATATATAGTGCATTTAAAAAGATTTTAACTAGTATTTTTGAAGGCCCACATGGGGTATTACCAGCTGTGAAACCATAGTTTGTATGTGCACATGCTATATATGTATGTATGAAATGTAGTCTTTTATGTACTAGACTTGTTAATTTAAATCAATAAGCTAATATTTCAGAAACTCAGTTTACACATTTGGAAAGTAGAACTAATAATGTCTGCTTAATTGGAGTTATTTATAAAGGTACCTCATAAACTAAAGAGTACTATTCATGTTATATTCATATTGTTGGTGTTGTGTTTTAAGAAATGTATCTTGGTTAACAGTTATCTTGAGCTTAGGGTTTTTGTGTTGTTATACTTCATTAAACCACAGAGGGTCAGTATAAGATTATACTGCAGCACTCATTGGTTTTTCTGCGGCTTGGATTTCCAGAATACTAAGTTCTACAGAAAAATACATGTTCTTAATCACTAACACTTGTTGGGATATCTCTTGGTTTAGTTTTTAAAAGAAACTGTAATTTAGACTATTAAAACTTTCTTTTTATATCATATTATATGGTATAATAACATCAGGGGTTTAATCTCTTAAGGATAATGTTAAGGGAGGCAACTAAGATACTCAAGTGTTAACAACTAGAATGAACTACTCTTCCTATTTATATCCAGATTCCTTATGGAAATGTGATAGTACAGTCTTATTAACTGGGATTATAAATAAGTTAAAATATTGAATGACAAGATTTTTAAAGGGTAGGGATAAGATTAATTTAGGTTCAAGAGAGAATGAGAGGAATGGAACTGGAGACAGCAAATACGCGTGGCTCCTTTTTCTAAAATCTTTACTGCTGGGAAGTTGCAAACATCATGACACTTCATCTCTTAAAAATTCTTCAACGTGTGACTTCCAAAAACATTCTTCTATTGATACAAAAGCATAATGCTGCATCACACTAAGAGAAAACTAAGAGAATAGTAGTCAGATTTCTCTCTTTTCCAGTATATACTTTTTTAAAAAAATAAATAAATAAGCTTTTATAGAGGTAACATTGGTTTATA